CCCCCCCCCCCCCCCCCCCCCCAAGTTATAACGTGATAATTGGTGAGCTTTAGAGGGACTGGAAGGGGGATTTAGTTGCATCTTGACAGAGCCATGCTACCAGTTTCCAGTCTTTATTCTGAGCTAAGCTAGCTGGATGCAGCTTTATATTTACCGTACAAACAAGGAAGTGGTGTCAATCTTCTCATCTAATCATCAGCAAGAAAGAATTTTGCCTATTTCGCAAAATGTCCAACCACTCCTTTAACGCTCACACGATACTGTATGTTAACTATGTTGTATTTCTTCTCCAGGTGTCGTCCCAGGACGTCAAGAAGGAGAACCCGCTGCAGTTCAAGTTTCGGGCCAAGTTCTTCCCTGAGGATGTGTCTGAGGAGCTGATCCAGGACATCACCCAGAAGCTTTTCTTCCTGCAGGTGAAGGAGGGCATCCTGAGCGACGAGGTTTACTGTCCACCAGAGACAGCCGTGCTGCTCGCCTCCTACTCTGTTCAGGCCAAGTTTGGAGACTACAACAAAGAAGTCCACCAGCCTGGATACCTGCTGTCCGAACGCCTGCTGCCACACAGGTGAGAGAGCCAGTAGGTTCAGAACAGGGAATCGCCTAGATCGAAAGCGCCAGATGTTATGTAGTGATGCACCTGATTTATTAGAGGAAGAAGGAACTAAAAAACTTAAAACAGTCACCATCTCCCCCCCCGGAAGCCAAAATAACAAACAAGCAGATTAAGTTTTGTGATTCATAAGATGATTATCAGTCTAAAACATTTGAATCATTTGTGTGGGTGTTTGTTTTTCCATCGGTTTCCTTCCGTTCATGAGTTTACCTTTCAAGGCATGCACACCGAAATACACATGCTGAAATGTAAGATATCAGAGTGTCTCGTTGGTTGCACCAGAGCATGCGAGAGTTTTAGATCAAAGCTTTATCACATCATCAATTATGGCACAGGCTACAAAGATTTGCGTGTGTGTGTCAGTGACTGGTGACAAGCATGTACAATTGTATCGGCTCTCAGGAACAAAAAAACAGCAGCCCAAATATGCCATCAAGTACATGATGATGTCTCTTTTTAATTCCTGCGTCTCGACAAATTGAGAGTCTGGAGGTCATTGTGGGGGACCATGTGGTCTGTGTCCTGAGGTTGTCACGATCTCCGGCATTGCTGTTGATTTAGCACAAACTAAAAAACTGTGTCGGATAGTACCAACAGCTAGCTGGATATGCACAAGGGTACAGAAGGTTATGTGGTTATTGTAGACCCACCATCGCCTTAATAGTATAGTCATACTTTTAATAATCGGATATTGATAGCTCTGCCTTGCCAGAATTATTACCATAATCTAAATACAACAGATGTTCTGTTCAGTTGAGAGTGTATAGTGAAAGTAAAATGCAAAACAAGATTAAAATGTTTTTTTTAGAAAGGGCTATGCGGGTGTTTGAAGGTGCACAAAATGCATCAATCTTGACTTTAAGTTGTAGTGCACTGCTGGAATGCCAGCAGCACACACCCTGTTGTACCTTTCCTCTCAATCTGAAGCGCTGCAAGTCACAGTGAGGGAAAAACACACGTAAACAAAAACAAAGTTGGACTTTGCGCAATTCAATGCTCGCATTATAACGGAGCACATGATGTTATTTATCAAAGATATCAGATCGTCTTGTCTGTTAGTGGTCTCTGTGTGTTTGTGGCTGATCTTTGCGGCGTTCTTCTCTCTTTCTGCAGAGTTCAGGAGCAGCACAAGTTATCCAGAGAGCAGTGGGAGGAGAGGATTCAGGTGTGGCACGAGGAGCACCGTGGGATGTTGAAGTGAGTGTGCGTTTTTGATATAATCTCATTCAGTGAGTTAATAAGAATACTTGAATGAACAGCTTCCTGTTGTCCTCTGGTGATTCCTGCAGGGAGGACGCTATAATGGAGTACCTGAAGATCGGCCAAGACCTGGAAATGTATGGAGTTAACTACTTTGACATCAAGAACAAGAAGGGAACAGAGCTGTGGCTGGGAGTGGACGCCCTGGGACTCAACATTTATGAGAAGGACGACAAGTAAGCACTGTATTTTGAGCCCTGCTGTTAGTGTGTGTCCTGTCTGTTTCTGCCTGCTGCTACAGAAGCTGCAGCTCTGTGAGACGGAGGTAAACTGGCTGAGCCAGGTCCATATCTGTACTTAATCACTATTCCTGTTTCTCTGCAGACAGTATGACAGAAATGACAAGGAATGCCAAATGAATACAGTCTTTTGGGAGGAATATCTCCAAATACAGATTTAAAGCAGTTTGCTTTTAGGTGTCTTTATTATCTAAAATCCAAGATTTGCAGATTTGAGCTGAAATCGTTTTTTTATCTTGAGGTTTCTCAACACAAATCACATAATATGGTTTAGAATGTGTGTCTACGCTGCATATAATTGTGCCTGCGTCATTGTCTCATAAATATAAATATACGTATATATGTAAAAATATAGATTATATACTTCATTTGTTCACACCTCTTTGAAGCACAAAGTACACATTGTGTGCCATTTATAATGACGATGATTTACAGGAAATCTTTTCTTACATTTACAGACCTTATCTTATTTATTTATTATTATGTATTTATTTAATTTCCCCTTGACTTGGGGCAGACTCTAACCTCAGACTTGTCCAGGTCTGTAGTTTATCACCACCCCTCTCTGTTTACCCACAGACAGTAAGATAGAGAACAGTAAATATTCCTCTGTTGAATTTTTTTGTTTTGGGGACTCTTTGTGTGGCATTGTGCTTCAAAGGAAACCTTCTTTTTGTGATCTGTGAAAGGGTGTTGCCAGACTCTGGTTTATAGGGCAAGACAGTTTGGGAGGTAATCACCCTCTAATTTGGTGAAAAGAGTCCTCAGCTCTCCTGTGTGCTGGTGGCCTTGTCTGTGGGGTCACTGGAGTGAAGTGTGTTAAAGGAGCACTTCATCCCAGGTGCCTTTCAGTCACTGACGCTGTGCTGGAAATCACTCTGCTCTGGCTGAGGTTTTTTTTTTGTAGCTTTTTCCCATATTTAACTGTCTGCACTGTGTCAACTTTCATGCCAGCGTCTACTGAAAGCAGTCTGGTCTACTTGGTGTGCCCTAGTGGAAGAAATGAACAGAGACGGTTGGTGACGCTGTAATGACAAAGTTTAGCAAGTCAGGTCTCTAATTGAACCTTTACCGGCTAATTCTTTGTCTTGTATCAGCTGAAGAAGTCTAAATGATTTCATTACTGTAACTGCTTTTGTGTTAAAGTTCATCCAGTCTCTCATTTAGATACTAATTGTGTCTTAACTGTGGTTAAGAAACGCATTGTTAAAGACTGCCCCGGGTCCTTGTGTCCCTGTGGGAGTCTGCCTCTTTATGTGCTCCCTGGGATCAGCAAAGACAGGCCTCTCCTCCACGGTGCCCTCTGCTGCAACCATGGCTACGCCGACTGGTTTTTCAAGCTGTGCGGCACTTAAGAATGTGAGGCTAACCTACAACACTGTCTCTCCAATGAGAGCAGCCGGCCCACAATGCAGCAGTGCAGCCGAGGCTTTGCTCGGACACAGTCTGGTGCCGGTTTAACTCCTTAGGCTCTCCTGCTCTACGAACCACAGCGCTGCTCATTTTATATAGGACGGCGTCTTTTCGAGGTTTTCCTTGATTCAAGGCAACCGTCCTCCTTAAACGCACACAAACACAGTTTATTCACAGTTTTATTCATGTTTTTTTTGACACACTATTTTGATTATCGATTAATATTTAGTTTATGTAGCTAAAATGGAAAACATTCATAGATTTTAGCTTCTCTGAGAGGATTGGCTGTTTTTTTTTGTCTTGTGTGATAACTGAATATATTTGTTTTTTTGACAAAACTTTCAAACTTTTAAAATTACAATTCACTTATTTATATTGACTCAGTTTTAACCTTGGTATCTACTCGGACTGCAACAGTACCTGAACATACTTGTACCATTAACTGTTGCTATCAAATGCTAATATTCCTTACGGGTTTATTCTCATACATTAGTATGAGACTTACTAATGAAAAACAGCAAGATTTTCGCGAACCTCAGTGTCTTTCCTTTCCTACATCACTGCAAACTGCAACATTTTATAAACCGCATCACTACAACATTCATTTCTAATTAACTGATAGAAATATTAAATCGCTGAGATAACTTCCACATTTTTCTCTCAATTCCATGAGCATGTGTCAGGGTCAGTAGTTGAGAGAAATTCCTGTTCAGGCAGTGCGGTTTCACAGCAGAGTTTCGCTATGAGGTGGATGGCTGCCTTCCTAGATTACAACACTATCTGCTTGTCAATGTTTACTGTGCTACTTTGTATTGTGCTGAATAAGATTGGCATCCGTTCAGGTTGTCTGGCACAATGGAACGGAAGGCCACACCCCAGATTCATCCCCTATACTCGAACACTGGATACAGAAATCCATCCTGAGAGTTTTATCAAACACCACAGTGTGAAGGATTTGTCTGAAATGGTCTAATATTTAACTATATGTGTTACTATAATAAATAAAGCTACAACTAATTGTTATTTTCATGATCGATTTAATATTTTAGTTTAAACATAAATGTGCTTGTTTTGACCGGCAAACAGTTCAAAACTCAAAGATATTTAATTTGTTGTCGTATATGAAAAAGAAATGCAGCAAATAATCTCATTTGAGAATCCAAAGTATGAATCTATTTTTTTGCATTAGAAAGAGTTAGATATTTTGTCACATTTGCAATATTTGTCAACCGGAAAAAAATTTGCCTTACATTTGTCTACAAATACACCAAAGCTTTTTGCCTCAGAGTGATAGGATCAGCCTTTATTTATACGATGTGTCTTGATAATACAGGGGACATATCAGCACACAGCCTCTTCATATACATACAATATATCTGTATCCATGTACAATTAAACTGTAATTATCATTCATTAACATACAAAGATCCATATACACCAGAACATAAACTAAAAGTATTGCACCGATGCCCTACACCGAGATATTGGACCCCCCCCCCAGTAATTCCCCCCCAATGTTTTGTCCATGTTTAATTTTGTCTCTTCAGGATCAGCACCAAAAACTGTAATTTCAGTTTTGTCCTCATTTCATTTAAAATACTTGTTGCGCATCGAAGCTCTAATATTTGCAGGACAGCCTTTAAAATGCTGTTACGATCATCCGCCACCAGCGGTTATGTACAGTTGTGAGTCGTCCACATAGCTGTGAAAATCTTAATTGTGCCATTGCAAATAATGTCAGTTTTCTGTTTTTGTTGTTAGTCAAAATAGATCAAAAGAAAACTATCTGGGTTGTGCCAGTGTACATCATAATTGCATTGTGGCCATGCAGCACTTCAGGATCGCAGTATAACGTTCGTGTACATGTGGTCACTTCCTCAGATTGACCCCAAAGATTGGCTTCCCCTGGAGTGAGATCAGAAACATTTCCTTCAATGATAAGAAGTTCATCATCAAACCCATTGACAAAAAATCTCCGGTGAGTAATACTTTTAATACCTGAAAATACTTCCCTGAAAAGTCTCCTTTACAATCACCTCCAGTTTAAGAATTCTTGTTTCTCTTTAGATAAAATGAAGCGTTCAGCCTATTAAGTAAACTTAAGCTCTCTGCTTACTTTTTACCATTGGCATCATTTTTCTCTGTAGCGGAGAGAAAAACCATTAAGACATATCCTCAGTCTGATCTAGCATACAGAATAGCCAGGGCTGCTTTTTAGGCAAAGCTATTTGTGAAGGATTCCAAGCACTCACAAAAGAAAGTTATAAACCTTCTCTTTGTAGCAGTGATCTGTATTAAAAGTGTCCCTGCATCTGCTCAGAGTCCTTTTTATCAGTAAAGCACAATAAACAGGCAGCTAAACACTTGATTCCGCCTGGTGTTGGTTCACTTTTCCTATCGTTTCTTATTCCTCCTGTCTGTTTCTTCTTCTCCAGGACTTTGTGTTTTATGCAGCAAGATTGAGGATAAATAAGCGCATCCTGCAGCTGTGCATGGGCAACCACGAGCTGTACATGCGTCGCCGCAAGCCAGACACGATCGAGGTGCAGCAGATGAAGGCCCAGGCCCGAGAGGAGAAGCAACAGAAACAGATGGAGAAGTACGCAGATATATGTATCATATGTAGATATTGTTAAACGTCTTCCAAAATCAACTTTTCTACTTTGATAAAAGTAAAACTATCCCAAACACTATTCAAAATATCAAAACTACTATTCAAAACCTTCTTTTAGGTTGTGACTTTAGCCACTTTCTATTTTCTTTGGCTAAAACTTTTGAATCTATTTGACAACGAATGAGCAGTAATTCAGTAATATTTTTTATAGAATTTCAGCTTATATTCTATATATTCTTATTCTACAAATACCTGTTGTCAAATTAATGATTCTGAGACAACTAACGGTGCAAAGTACAAACATTTATCATATTGTAATATTGAATTGATCTTTATTACGTAAAAAGTAAAAGTGTGTGTGTGTGTACGGCTAAATATATTTATATATATTTAAATGTGACATGATATGTTAAACGAATGATTTTCAAAATGGGTAAGGCTGCAAGAGTTTAAGGCTGCATCTACAATTATGTTCATTATTGATTCATTTGCTAGTTTTCTTGATTCATCTATTCATCATTTGGGTTATAAAAAGTCAGATCATAGTGATTAACTGCCTGTCAAGCTTTCCCACAGCCCAAGGTGACGTCTTGTTCTGTCCAAACGATAGTTCAAACACAAATATATTCAGTCTATAATCATATAAAACAGAAAAAGAGATGGTCCTCCATGAAGTGGATAAAGACCAGCAGTGCACTTTTGACCTTGTTCTCTTGTGTGAACCAGCTTTACCAATGGCAGACACTTTTCACAATTCATGCTGTTCAACCTGTGAAACCTCCATTCATTGGGCAATACAACCCACCATTCCCTTTTCAAGTATGGGAAATGTGCTTCCTGTGTTGGCTGAACTAAAAGTGGATGGATGTTGACCCTGGTCTCATCTACAGCTGTTCAAACATGGTGATGTAACGCCGGGAGACAGCACAGTAAATACCAGTGGGTGAACCATTAGGTCACCGCAGACTGAGTTAGGGTTCACAAACAGGAGCTCACAGTATGACAGAGGCTGGGCTGATGTCCAAACAGTTACTAGATGGTTACTAGTCTCTTAATTGATTTAAACATAATTAAACCCTCAGGGAGATGTCAGGTTGTTAGTACAGCAAAGTTATTTAGCGATTAATGATAAAGCTGGAGTACAAATAGGACAATGAGGCAAATCTGGCCCTCCAACAGAAATATTTTGCCCCCTGATTAAAGTTTTTCCTTTCATAGTTTACATTAAAACGTTTAAAAAATAATAAATCTAGTGTAGATATCAATATACGTACAAGGCTAATTGAACAGCACAATAAGATGACAAGTTGCTGTTATAAGTCAACTATGGGAAAGCTGCTAATATTTCTAACCTTAGCCCTCACATTGTATTATCTTTGGTTTGATGTCTAAATGTCTAAACAAATAATTGGAAACATAAATGACAAATTTATCAAGAATGACAATATTCGTCAATTGCCGCTTTCGACAAAATTCACACCAGAATCCGGCCAGTCGCTTTCTTTCTACTTTTCTCTCCTAGTAAATTGAAGATCCATGAAGTTTTGTTTTTTTCCCTATTTTCTGACATTTTATAGATCAAACCATGAGTCATTTAATTGATTATTTCAACAGTTAAAAACCTTTAAAGAGTCCCTGCTATTGATGAATGCATTAACATCTTGCTTATTTAAGCCATTTCAAGGCCTCACCTGCAAATGGTCATCGTGTGGGATGAATTATATTTACATGTTTAGTGTACTGTATGTGACCGTGATGGATGAATGAGATTTATTTATGTTTTCAAACGGTTGTAATAACAATAGAACAGCTTGTGCTATCGTGGTGAATCTGGGCTTGTATATGTGTGTGTGTGTGTGTGTGTGTGTGTGTGTGTGTGGGGGGGGGGGGCTCACTGACTGTTGTTTGTCAGCCGTAACTATGCATCAACCATGTCAGCTCACGACTGCTGTGTCTTATCTTCAGGGCCCAGCTGGAGAAAGAGAAGAAGAAGAGAGAGGTCATCGAGAGAGAGAAGGACCAGATGGAGCGGGAGAAGCAGGATCTGATGATGAGGCTCTACCAGTTTGAGGAGAAGACCAAGAAGGCAGAGAAAGGTGAAAGGCGGGGCGGGGCCCATACATCACTTCACCCTTTAGAATAGAAAGCGTGTGCGTGTGTGAAAATAGTTAGAATGTGTGTGTGTTCATGCGGGCAGGTGAATGCGAGGCTAACAGGCTAATGCTAAGCCGAATCAATCAAGCATCTGTTATTTGCTTTAGCAGTGATGTCATCTGTGTGTACAGTACGATACCTGATGGTTAGTAACTTTCTTAACTTTGTGTTTTGATTATATTTTGATTATATTTTGTCCAAACCAGAAAAAAAGCATTTGTGTTTTTACTTCCAGTTTTACCCGTTTCTGCTCGTGACAGTCTCGTCTGCAGGCGATACCAGCAGTGTTCCTTTAACAAAATAAATAAAAAACGACCGTAGGAAGCATTTTATTGTTGACGAAATGATATACTGCACAGTAAGCTATCGGGCTAATAATAGCATTAAGTGACTCCGGGGCTTCCTCTTTAGTAATGATTAATACGTTTCCTGCTCATACATTAGTGCCGAATGATTTGCAGTGTTTGTTTAGAAATATTTAGAATTCCATCTGATTGTGGTTTCACAGCCTGAGTAGCAACAGAAACTCACGTATGAATAGACTGTCGCTACAGTATCTCCATTTTAAGACTGGGAATGCCCCTCAGTAGAAGGATGCAATTTGGCATATTTACTTTTTTATTTGCGCTTTGCACATTATGTTTTTACTTAATCTGTGTTTAGACTTTAGAAACACTCTTACTTACACATTACTGCATCCATGGCGGAAACGGTATAACCCACAATGCTCAGATGTTTTAGGTATCATTTAGCCTCTTGGGAAACTTGGGATCTGTGAAGATTTACGAACAATGTAATAGAAACCTGGCTTGCTTATAGTGAAACACCGAACGACGTTAGAAAAAGAACCCAGGGCGCCGTGGTTCTTGTTTTAAAAGAATTGTAGTTTGAGTATCTCATGAACTAGCTTTCCTTGAAGTGCTAGTACTGTAGCTGTGAGCTTTGTTTCATATCTCTTCTGTTTGTTTATGGTAGATCTGCAGGACCAGGTCCAGAGAGCCATGATGCTGGAGCAGGAGCGACGGAGAGCCGAGGAGGAGGCAGCTCGTCTGGAGGCCGAGCGCCAGGCTGCTCTGCTGGCTAAAGAGGAGCTTGCCCGCCATGCTGAGGACCAGCAGAAGGGTCAGGAGCAGCTGGTCAGTATTTTAGACAAATGTGTGCAATTCTTTCAACCAGGTTGCAAATACTCTACAGCCATACCTATAGCTAGTTGCACAACTGTTTAAGAAAAAGAGCTGTCTGGTCGTTTTACCTGGCTATATTCGGCTGGTACTTTGTCCAGGTCTGTACCAGGCGCATTGCAGGGTGGTGTATTCAGCAGTGCCTGCCTACTGTGGCTCCAGACAAAACCACTTTGTAGCGTCCGGTTGGACCACACCCCGTTACTTCAGGCTAACCGCCCCCTCACCCCAAGCCGCTGGTCTGTGGACCACCCACAGGACTGTGTGCTCCCGTTTTCACTTGAACAGCCTGGACAGTAAAGCTGTGGTTCCTTCTCCACACTCACAGTTGTATTGCAGCACAGACACCTGCTGCGACACCCTTTATACTTAAACCCTAATAAGACGCTTGTGCAATGGATTAAGTCGGAAAAAGAATTGTGTTTGACAATGTTTGACAGCATGTAACTTTCCAGCTGAACACCTTCAACACAACAATTTCACGGCCAAGTCCGCTGCAGGCTGGGATCTGTTCAGTACTTTATAATTAAGGTGTACTGTTTTAATACTGAGCCTCCAGTTAGTTCAGTCTGGTGAAAGACAAACCGTTCACATTGTTGTGGTGGTCACAAGGAACGAGGAATGTACCACGACACCTGCAGAGTCGTGTTACATTTTAGCAGGCAGCTCTGCTCAAAGGTTTCTGCTTTTCTACTGTTGAGTTCCCTTTTTATGATGGTACTGAGAGCTCTGAATGCTTTTGAAGTTAAGGTGATTGCATCATATCATATTTCAAGTTATCAAAACTTTTGGTGATAAGTGTCATTTTTTATGTTTTTAATCAAGATACTTCTAATTGTTGTGGACTTTTGTTGTGGATTTTTACCTCAGCCAATAAATGTTGTTTTCACCGTTTTACATGTAGCCGTTAAAATTAAATCTCTGTAAATCACAGTCTTGCATGAGCGAAATCTCTTTGAAGATGACGGTAATCTTTAGGAAACGTTTTTTTTTTTTTTTGCTTGTTTCCAGTAACTTAGAGAGGTAATAGGACTTGATGCTTGTTTTAAGAAGTTAAAAAGATGTTTAAAAATGTGTTTTTTGCGCCTGAAAAAAATGCATAACGGCAGTGGATGGAGACACACATTCATTTTCAATCGCAGAAATATATTACATGAAGACCAGTGCTCTCTCTTTGTGCAATTAGATCATTATCTAAAATTACACATTATGTGCTTTTGTTTTATCTGCTTGCTTTTCTTTCTTTTTGCTCTACTGAGGTCTCTATTGCAAAAGAGATCTTGATCTCAATGACACTACCTGATTTTAAATAGAGATGATATATCTCTATCCACGTATTAAGTCTTGACTCTTGGATAAGTGTGTCTGCTGTTGTTTTGTATCAGGCTGCAGAGCTGGCAGAGCACACCGCCAAGATCAGCCTGCTGGAGGAGGCCAAGAGACGCAAGGAGGAGGAGGCCGAGTCATGGCAGCTCAGGGTGAGAGCTTAAACTGAGGGTAACCTGCAGTGTACGATACACTGAAGCGCATTAGCAGCAGACAAGTACAGTACATTATACAAGGCCTGGAATTAGATTTGTTCAGACTCTTTTCTCTGCTTTTACAAGTTCTCTAACCTGCTAAAACAGTAAACAACGTAGAAGTGAGTACACATGTTGTTGAAGAGTTATGCTTGTAATCTTAAACTAAAATTTTTTTTAAAGTAAACAAACGAGGGTGCGGCAGGGAGGGAAATTATGTTTGTGTATGTACTTCATATATTTTGTTAAATTTAACAAAACAGATTTTCCACCACATTCAGAGACAAAGGAGAGTAAACTGACTGTCCCTGTGTTACAAATTCTTCTTTCCAGGCCATGGAGGCCCAGGACGATCTGATAAAGACCAAGGAGGAGCTGCACATGGTGATGACGGCGCCCCCCCCGCCTCCACCTCCACCTCCCCCCATGTACGAACCCCTGGACGACAACAGCGACAGCGAAGAGAACGCCAGCACAAACAGCGCCGAGCTGCAGACTGAAGGCATCAATGACCACCGCTACGAGGAGGATCGCCTGACCGAGGCCGAGAAGAACGAGCGCGTCCAGAAACAGCTGAAGGTGAGGACAGTGCGATCCGTAGAGATAACGACCATTCACAAGTGTCCAATGCCTGATTTTATTTTATTTTTTTAATGCAAGAATTGTATTAGTAGTTGGGTTTCTTTTGAGGTTTCATCTCATGCCTCCTCTCCTTTTCTGTCCCCACAGGCCCTGACCTCAGAGCTGGCTCATGCACGTGATGAATCCAAGAATACCCAGAATGACCTTCTTCACAGTGAGAACGTCCGGGCCGGCCGAGACAAATACAAGACCCTGCGACAGATCAGGCAGGGCAACACCAAGCAGAGGATCGATGAGTTTGAGTCCTTATAAAAAAAAAAATTTAAAAAAAGCCCCTCACCCTTTCTGAATGGTCACTACATCTCGGCCGTCACACATGGACACACACAAACGCGCTTAAACTCATGTATAACACACATCAGTTGCAGACTAAACTGGAGCAGTATAAGCATCACTTACAGAGAGACACTCCTGTTTTGAGCGTGCAGATCTTTACGGATCCCTCGAAGAAAACTTAGTGCCAAAACCTTTCTCTTCTTAGTGTTTCAGATCTTATTTGTGTATTTGATTGTGTGTCATTTGATCAAATTTAGACCAAATCATTATTGTTTTTATCCAGAGGTGTGATGAAGTAGTGGGACTAGCCTAATTTAATTATTATTACATGACGTGCACATATGATATGTAATCAAAGCCTCGCTTCTTTTTGATGTCTGTCATTCGTCGTGTGGGAAGAAAAGGACAGTTTATAGCGACCACTCAGAAAGGGGGAAAACAGTATAAACAGGAAAATGTTTGTTTTGTTTTTGTTTTACATTTTTTTGAACACTTCCATTTATGTTTAATATTGCTATACAGTAGTTTAAAATCATCCCTGGTTTGATATTTATGCTGTATATGGGACATTGAAATGGGGTATTTCATCTTGGTTTGTATACTTTTGCTATCTACTAATGATAATAAAAACATTTAATGTTTCAAAGATTTTATATATTCACCAAAATGATAGCTGTGTTATGTTCTACATGTTTTCCTTTAGATCGCTAAATTAAAGAGATTAAACTGTAAATTATTATTTTTTACTTTAGGAAATATCCAGCTGCATGTCATTAAATCAGTTAAAAGGAGTTTGTTATCAATCTAGGTACTTTTGATTAGCTTTTTTTTTTTTTTTTTTTTTTTTTTGCAATGCAGTTCACAGCATGCTGAGGATTGTCTTTATCCTCAAAATCACTGTGTCGAGTGGGACACTTAGTTTTGATATATTTTATTTCTCTGTGTCATGTCGCTGTTGAGTGAGAGATGGGCATGTGCTGTGTGCTTTTAGCCTTCTAAGTGGACTCTGGCTGTTCCTCTGCAGGAATCAGTGCCAGACAGTTTGTTTTCACTACGTAGCCAAGGTGATGTCACTAAATATATGGAAGCCTTTAGTTCAGGGGTGTCCAACTCATTTTAATTCATGGGCCACATACAGCACACTTTGATCTCCAGTGGGCTGGACCAGTAAAACCCTTGCATAATGTCCTACAAATCACAATATCTCCAAAATTCTTTTCTTTTGTTTTTGTGTAAAAAAGTATGTTGTGAAAACGTCCCCTATGTCCCTATGAGTAAAAGACTGACTGCTGTTTCCTGAAAACTACCAACAATTCATATATCTTCTCTGTTCTCAGTTGTCCTGGCAAGTTCTTGTATTGTTTGTGAAACAACACCAAGCACAATGGCCTCCCATTTACCTGTATGAAGAAATAGGAACTGTTCCATTTTTCTTTGAAAACCCGACACTCTGTCTCTTTTTTTCCCCCCTTAGTTACAAAGACATTTGTCACCCGGGGCTCCTGCATGAACAGTAGCCTACGCTTGACAGTGTTGTTTCACATAGTCAGTGCGTAAGCACGTGGGATCTATAATAGGATATCCAGCGTAGGGCCTGCTACTCTCATTAGGACAGTACGACCGCGGTGGACCAATGGGAATAGCAGTGCATTTTATTGTAAATTGTGGAAATTTCAGAGACATAATTTATTTCACTTTCCAAAGTCTTACTGTGGGTCGGATTGGACCCTTTGGAAGGCTGGTTCTGGCCCCCATGCCGTATGTTTGACACCCCTGCTTTAGTTCTTTTAGTGTTACGCCTAACGGGGGTTTTGAGGTTTGAACGTTGCAAAGAGCTTTTATTTTGCAGCTTGGTCACAATGGACTGACCCTGACAGTACCACACCAACATCTCACTCTCCTCCCTCTGGACATGGACTAGAGTAGCATCTACTGACACTGTAATGGAAGCACTCTGCTCTGCTGGCCTTTGTATAGGAACAGGATTTTATAATGAGGTGTTCAACATATTGGCAATAAAGAAAAATCTATGATTATACATGTGTTTTTACTTTGTACTGTGTATGATGTAAAAAGATATGTTCGTGTTCAATATCATTGACAACATAGTATAGTGGGACTATTTTATATTTTGAACATACTATAAAATGTTTTTATACACTATTTTATGACTTTCATTGTCGTATTCTATGAATTAAAAACATTTTAGACTTGCTTTACTATGACTTTTTCAGGACTTGTTTCAACATACTATACTATGACTTTTTTATGAATTTTGCAAAATACTATAATTTCACTTTTTAATCATTTTTTCGACATACTGTACCATGACCTTTTTTTATAACTTTTTTCAACACGTTTTTATACATTTTTACAAAATACTATTCTCTGACTTTTTTCAACATACTATTACATGACTTTTTGATTGAGAGAGTATGACATGCATCAAAGAGTCAACGAGCCATGGGTTAGGTTTGAACCAGTACCGCTGCATTAAGATTTATGCATGGGACATACTATATTATGACTTTTGTGACATACTATACCATGACTTTTTCTGTTTTTTCAACATACTATAATATGACTCTTTAGTCTTATATGTCTTTATGTTTCTTGCTGTTTTGCCTTCATTGCATCGTTAAAGTGATAGCCAGGAAGGAAGAGAGAGCAAAGAGCCATGGTCAGATTCAAACCCTTATCATTATTACCAGTATTTTAATAGAAAAAATACATACAAAATAATGGAAAATAAAATAAATAGTAGTACTGATGGGTGTAATGTTTCTGCATAATTATAGCCACTTTGTCAGTTTAAGAAGAGGGACGTTAAAGTTCCAGACTTAAATACTTTTAATTATAAAGTGATTCAGTTTTATAGATAAATAAATAAAAAACATTTCTTTACAAACGTATGATGGCTTACAGTTCTTACAGGATAAATACTGCACTGTGACCATGTCAAAGTGCAGAGTCAGTTGCTGGGCAGAGGCGTTGAACGTGATCACGTTCTCCCGATGTCGACGTTTGGCGGGAGACGGATGAAGCTGACGTCAATACACCTGTTGCCATGGTGAACCCTGGAGAAGACGGGGTTAACAGAGAATTCCAGGTCAATGACATCACCGCAAGCTTTTGTGAAACCAGAGACGGAGCATGTCTTTCACACCGCTTAGGCTGAGACAACAAAGGCTTCACTGTAGAGAAGGAAAAGCTGGAGAGTCACTCTTAAATGAGTCAAACCACTTCCTGTAAATTGGCTTTAAATTTAGTTTGTGAGACATGTCATCCCGGTGTCTTTTCGAGTGATTTAATTTGCATAGACGTTTAGCTGCCTGACTCCTCTAAAAGAACATCACCCTGAGGAGGAATTGGATTTGAAATATATATTGTATGCTGCAGAGAAGCCTCAGCTGGTAAGACCTTCAACCCCACATATGTTGCATTTATAAGCAGCTCAAAGATGATTAATAAGTTGTTTTTAACATACTAAAATATAGTTGTCCAGTAAGAAGGACATTTTTGTGTGAATATTGAAGCTGAAAAAGGCTCTTTGACAACTTTTACTATGAAGCAACAGGTGTGTAAAGAGATAACAAATGATTCATATTTAAAAGAATAGACAGATATTCTGAGAAGACTGATAGCACCTGCAAAGTAAATACGAAGCTGAAGCCAGTTAGCTTAGCTTAGCATAAAAAAGACTATTCCTGTAAGATTTTCCCCAGAGCTGTCAGCAACATGTCATGGCCTTCATTAGCGAATCAGTTGTCCATTCGCGAATGGAATGATTGTCAATCATTCATTAACTGTTTTGAATGCCATTGATAATCACTTAAAAATGTCCTTATGTCAGCTGACAACTAAGTTAAAGTGTGATATAAACCATATATTAATTGTTTGTATACTTGTGCAATGTGAAATTGGTGGGCTAAAAGAGTTACCAGAGTGATAGTTGCCTGAGGCCCTCACCAGGGGTCCGTCAGAGGGCCAGCAGGGGCCACAGCTCTGGGTTCAGAGAGCCGTCTCACCCTCAGAAATGGCCGTCGTCTGGATGAGCTCTCTGCCTGCTCCCAGAGTCAGACACCTAAACACAACACACACACAAATATCTATATAAACACACCCTCGTGACTATTAAATACGTACACTTTATAATACATTCATAAACACACACCAGAACACACACAACACACCTTGCAGGCCTGCAGACACTGAAACACACACACAAAGAGCCATGCAAGGCCACAATAAGGTGTATTTACACTCTGACGCATGTGTTCTGACCTGTGTTTGCATTAATGGGAAGGTGTTTGTCACCTTTGATAAGGACAGTTAGTTGATCATTGCTATGTGGCACAGTGTTAGACTGCACGACTGTCCGAGAGGTGTCAAAACGGCATGTTCTTCTGACCTCTAGTGCTGGAACGCGGTGCCGTTTTTTCCTTTTAAACATTGTTTTTGACAGAAGTGGTAAGTAACCAAGTGCATTTACACTTGCGCAGTACTTAAATACAATTTTGAGGTACTTTTTTATCTAACAGCTGGAGTTACTAGTTACATTGCAGATTAAGATTTTACAAATGAAACATAATCAATATATAAGATATGATACAGTATTATAGATTAAACTATTCAACAGTTTAAAGTAGTTCAAATATGTACATTCCAATATATGATATACTATATGATAATATAACTCTCTGGAAGGGACCATTCTCCCCAACAAGTACTTTTACTTTCAGTACATATTGCTGTTAATACTGTTGTACTTTTACTTCAATGAAATCTTGAATGTAGGACTTTTTCTTCTAACAGTATTATTGCAGAGCGGTATTGCTACTTTTACTTACTAATATCTTTAATGAGTACATCTACTACCACTGGTTTTTAATTAATGTCTTGTAAAGTAGCACTTCAAATGTGAGCTTTTATGTATTGTCTTTTTATCTGTAAAAGCTCATTTTATATTTGTGAAAAGTGTTGAATGTCCACTCTTGAATTGTTGGATAGCACATGTAGTATGTCTGTAAAACGTTAAAGCACATAAAAACTACATCAGAGAGTACATTATAGTCTACTATATATATCTACCACTGGAAGCTATAGTATAGTTCTTCTTTTATTTATCAGCTGATATGTACTATGAGCTGTGACATTCTTATTAGAGTAAATTCTTATTGTTTTTATAAATAATAAAACCTTGTGGGTGGATGAAAATCGTAAAAATCAAGTCAAGTTTAAACAATTTTATTTGTAAAGCCCAAAAGACAAAAAGATGTATTGCGTGGTTTGAAAAAATAGTCAAAATTAGATTAAAATAAATAAAATTAGACAAATAAATATATAAATAAAAAGCAAATTAAACACACGGCATTTCTTTTAAAAGCCGACATTACATAGTGTTTTTGTACAGACCATCAACTACGATATCATCTATTTTCAAGACTATCATCTATTTTCTTGAGTGAAAAAGCAGATCTGTTATGTAATTATCTGGCGACATGCCTCTTTTTTTGAAAGTAGCTGAGCTGCAGGAGCTCACCCTGGTGGTTGGAGCTGAACTTGGCTCTGACCAGCAGATCTCCAACATATTGCTCCACAGCGCCTCCGTCTGGACTCTCAGCCTGATGAACACAGAAATACATGAAGGGAGAAGGAAATGAACTCATGTAGCCTTGAAACAAAACGATCTCTCAGACTATGGACACATGCTGTGTTCAATAATATAACAATAGAATAAAAAAATACAAATAAAATATATAACATGGTTATCGAATTGTAAAGTAATCCAATAACTTTCCAAATGTTATTTTATCCTGCTTAATTTCACGATAACAGTTTTTTGCAGGTCATTTGTAATCTATATTCCTGCAGTTTTTATTTTAAAATGCACATTTTCTGTAGCTTCAGTCTGAATGAGCAGATAGTCGAGTCACGTGACTAGTTATTCCCTGTTTGTCTTGATCAACGAAGATTATGTGATTCAAAATGGCATTATGAATAAAAAAATGTAATGGTCATGAGGAAAAATTTAAAAAAACGTTTTTTGAAAAAGGACATTTTGATAAAAAAAAACAGCTGGAATCAAATAAAAGTGACCTGCAATAAATTATGTTACTGTGACAAGAAGGATGAAATAACTTTCTATAATAATGAGTTTTAAAAATATATTAGTTTTGTATTATTTGTTCATATGATTATTAATTTCAAAATGTTTTTAATTAAAGGAATAGTTAGATATTTTGACAAATGTTTTTATTCGCTTTTATTGGGAGAGTTTGATACCAATCCCACGTCTGTACGTTAAATATGAAACTCAGCCGGCAGCCACTTGACTTAGCTTAGCATAAAGACTGGAAACAGCTACGGTATGCCTCTTTTAAATCTCAGTAATTAGCACGTGTTGTTGTTTGTTTAACTCCTACGAAATTAAAAGTGTAGAAATCACAATTTCTGATTTAACTATTCCTTTAATATTGAGTTAGCTGTTAACAGAACCATGAATGACGGAATAACATCAGAGCTGAACCTTTTTTACCTTTGGACAAAGCGGGTACCAGTTGAAGCCCTGGGAGTCCTTGTCCTCAAATCTCCAGCCGTCCAGCGGGACGAGGACCTCACCGAGAAACACCTTCCTTCTCAGGGTTCCTGAATGCCACACAGAGACCTGCAGTCTCTTGCCGAACAGCAGGTGGCGCTCTATGTCATACTGTCAAGAACCAGACAAAAAAACATTGATTTGAGCATGATATGACACAATTTGATTGTCACAACAGCTGAAGTAAAAACGTTCTCTTTACCTTTAAAACTTCATTATAAACCGGATCGGTCGTGTTTTTCTTGACCGTCGTCTTCATTTTACCGCTCATTCCCGGCAGCATGTAGAGTTTGACATATCTACACAAAGAAATAACAGGAGGATGAGGTTTTGATGGAGAATCACTCGACAAAATAAGGTCATACTGAACATGATGCAGAGAGTTTATTTATTTATTATCCTTACGGATGACACTTCTTCTTCTTGGTGTCTCCGTAGGAGAGATTTCTGCAGGCGCCGACAGTGATTTCCAGACAAGATTTATTGGTGTTGAAGGCCAGAGCCAGTTCCAGCTCTCCTGCTATGCCGATGCTCTCGAAGAGGCCACAGTCTGTGCTGATGCTGCTACTGCTACTGCCCTGAGGTGGTGAATGTTAAAATTATATTTGTAAAAAGGGGAGACAGACACTATCTTATGGACATTAACTTGGAGCTAAGAGGCTGAAATGATAACAATCTACTACGTCTTTTATATATGACATGCTATACTATGACATTTTATGACATACTCTGCAATGACTTCTATGATATACTATGATATGCCTTTTTAAAAACTGTTTATGACATAGTATAAAGGTAGTTTACGACTGTTATGACATAAACACTATGACTTTTTTTAACTTAACAGTGTAATATTTCACCCGTCACAGGATGTTGCTCGGGGACTTTTTTTTTAAATCTTATAATCAGCTTCTACTTACTCTCTTTCCTCCAGAGTACTCAGAACCATAAGATGTTTCTTCTTCCGCCCCGGTTGAGTAGCCTTCCTGGTCGCTGTCTTTGCTTTTCTTGAACAGGTTTGGAAGACTGGGTCCTTTAAAGAGCTGTAAAATGGAGGATCATTTCTTTACTGATAGTTATTTCCTGTAAGCACCAGTATGGATGAGTACAGGTCTTAGATTACTTTAAGCTCCTTTGATGGCCTTGTTCAGTGGTCTCATCGGCGTATTTGGATTATGAAAAAGTCCATCTCGACTAAGTCAAAAGCAGAATAATTCGGCGAGGCCATTAAAGGAAGTAAGGCATCCTTAAGGCCCTAGTGCTGAATGATTTATTTTGTAGTACTGAACGTATAAGTGTTGCATTTGACTTACATTGTGAGATTTGCTGATGTCAGTGTCAGAGAGGCTCTTTTGGGAGCTGTACTTTAAGCACGACCCTCTCCGGTTGTTGTCAACTCTCAGCAGGTCTCCTCGCACATCGCTCTGAGAAGTGGAAATCCCTGCTTTGAGAAAAAAGAAGTCAAATGTTTAAGTATACTTGGAGAGAAACACAAAAATCTATTTAGAGAAATGATATCTGTCCACTGCCTGGACAATTTCAATAGCTCCAAAGGTTCTTTTTTTTTTTTGCAATGCATGTAATAAGTAGCTTCTATCTGTGCTTGTCATATTGTGCAACTTCTGCTGGTGCAGTTAAGATGATGAGCTGAGAGATTTTTTTTCTTTTATTGCATCATATTACTTCAGGCACATTTCCGTTGTGGTTGTTACTGCGACTATAATCACCTCATCATGTATGAAGTGACGCTGCTACTTCTGATAAGTTCTCAAGTTCCCAAGACGCACACCGGCAATAGTTGAAGTTTGATCATAACCAATAAGAGAACATGTTTAATGATGCATGAACTTACTCCTAATATGACTGGTGAAGGAAAACATTAGATCTTCCATAGATTTGGTGAAAGGTTTTGAGTTTTTCAAATCCTGCAGATTAAAACACAGCATTAATTGAAGCTCAGTTTATACATTTGATACTTTTTACTGTAAAATAATGCTGCATACATGACAGTATTTTACCCCAGATCTGCTCAGAAATGGACAATCCAAGTAGGGTGGAGGAGTGGGAGGCACAATTGATATATGACTGTGAAAAATTGTAGGGAAAAAAAAATGTTACTTTGTGTTTTATGTACAAGTGTCTCATTCAAAAGTTGAAAATAAACATGTTAAGATTTCTCGTACCGCAGCATGTTGTAGGTCTTTAATATTTTCTCCCCAACCATCTCATATTTGTCTGTAAAGAACATAAATATAATCAATAAAACATGGCAACACATGTGAAAGCCAAATGTTTACACACTGTCAAAGAGATGAGTGGAGGACAATTTATACAGTGACACTAAATATAACTTCTCTGTGACTGAACAGTCTGAAAGTCTTATGTGGCCAAATCTGACACAATTAGGAATGATGTAAAGATTAAAAAAACACATTTGATCATTTAAATATCCGTATAGGTCCAAGTCCTCCACACACACAACATATGTTTGAATATTATAGAATCGCCTCTAATAATAGTTTACCACGCTGTAAATACTGAATAATTCAGTACCCCAAATATAAAGCAAATGGCTTAAACAAACACAAACCGGATCATCCATATTTTATGAACAAATGTAGTTAAACTGGATGATATCGAGGGAGTATCAATAATTAATAACGATGAATTTACAAAAAGGAAACGAATAGTAAATACATGCAGTATTGTAAACAAACCTGTGGTGACTGAAAATTTCTTTGCTCTCTCCTCTAAGAACCACTCTCCAGACCTGAACTTCACGTCCCTGAGAAGAAGAAAAAGACATGATTACATATTTACATTATTAGCACTCATGCTTTCCTATTCATACTGAAAAAAAAGAGGTCGCAAGTACAGCTATTCTAGTGACTGCACCTGACTATATTATCATTTTAAAGGTACGGTATCATTGCTGCCTCTTTTTACTTGAGTTTTCTTTCTATCAGAGATATTCTATGTCATCTGAGAAAGCTGACATTAAACCTTCAATAACTGGTTGTTTTGGCCAGTAGGGGGCAGCAGAAACACGTTATAAACACAACATTAATAACATATTATCGTCTTTTAAGTTGATATGGTGAACATGTTAGTCCATTATTCAATTTCTTTTAGCTCTGTTTTCCGTCTCCACCAACTCCTGAGCGAAATGTCTGCCTCTTTAGCTGCTAAATGCTCTACTATGTTCATCAGCTAGTCTCCAACTGGGACTGTCTGCTGTTTGGTGCCAGTGTACAACTTTTTTTCATTGTTGCTGAAAACAGCTGTTTACTGCTTTGGGAAAAACAAGCTGTGCAGTGAGACTGAACCAAAACATTTAAGGTTTTGGGCCGGACAGCTAAACAACGAGCTGACACTAACTAAAGCCAAATGGAGCTGCAGTTTCAGGTGATAATTCTCTGAGGGTTTCATATTTGATACATCATTCTAATACACATTTTGATGATAGCCACTTCAAAGAAAGTTAGTTTAAAGAGGCCAAAGGAGAGTTCACAGTTTCAAACACAGCAAAAGCCAGAAAGTGAGTTTGAATCATTTTGTGCTGTGATCTGAGCACCAACTGAGTCAAATATTTCTTTGCAGATGATGGAGCTCTCTACTGCACCTGTAGGCGTGGCAGACCGTGCACTTCCAGCCCGTCGCTCCCACGCCCACGCGGCACTTGCTGCAGATGCGGTGGCTGCAGCCGCGACAGACTGCGCCCGAGTTCCAGAACTTTCCCAGCGGCCTCTGGCAGCGGGCGCAGGTCCGCTCGCCGTACTGCCGGGCGAAACTCTTTGCGCCTCTCCTTCGAAGCTCCTGGAGCTCATATTTCATCCTCCTGAGATGAAGATGGAGGGAGTCAAACATTTTTAAAGCTATTTTCACAAAGAAAACATTAAAGAGTGAAACGTATTTTCAGTTTATTTGCAAAAATCATTTCTTAATATACTGAAAGACACAGTAACCGAAATTCTTTTGGTAACAGAACATGTATATATAAATAATTAATTAATTAATATCTATATTTCTGACATTATAATTGTTTTTTGTTATAATCTTGTTTGTTGTTGGTCTCATGATGATCAATGAAAGAATTAGTACAGCCTCCCTTCAGCATCAGTGAGAAGTACTTGACAGCCATGAAAGTGGTCAGAAAAGCCTCACCTTATCCTGTCCTCTTCAATAGTACGCAGCTGTTTGTCTCTTCGAAGAACCTCCAGGACTCTTTCTCTCTCCAGAGCTTGAAGCGAACTTAAATCCATCTTTAAAGTCTCAGTCTGATTATCTGTGTCACAGTCACTGGTCCTCTTCTCTCTGTCTCTCTCTGCTTCACCGTCTTGTGTTTTTGTTCCTGTCTCCGCCTCCTGCCCTCTTTAACCCTCCCTTTACTGGACCCAGACCTCCTCTTCAGTCCTCTGGAGCTGAAAGAGTAAAAAATAAAAATAAGAGAGATAGTCAAGGTTATTCAACAGTAAGTGCTGTAGAAAATCCCCCTTTTCCTGATTATGATCTCCAGGGAGACCCCATTCACGTCAGAGCCGGATATACACCTACTGAGCAGATACTTGTATTGCTTCCACTTGGATGAAACTGTAGAAAAACCCTCTATTGATTTTCTTTTCTCAAGAGGCAAGTTAAGGACTACAGGTTTACAACGTGGTGACGCAGACAGTCAGTCTGCTAGAGTAATCTCAGACCCTCTAATACAAGTTCTGATGACATTTAAAACAATCTGCTACTTTTGGCTAATATTTTAAGCTCCAAATCCTGATTTTCTCAAACTGTCCTCATTTTGCCTTTCTATGTCAGCGTCACAAGGTCCCCCCCTATTATTCAACCCCCCTCCTGGCAAACCACCTCTTCCTCAGCTGCAGGAGGAGCAGTGATGCTTCACTGATGGCAGAGCTGCAAACCAAACCAAATGCCAACCTTTGCATTATTGATGGCTGACGTGCGTCTCTGTTCTGGTTTCCTTCTTTCCTTTTTTTTTTTTGTTGTTGCAGGTCAGTGCACACTTCAATTCTTACTCGGCTTAATATGAATTTCAAAAACAAATTCATCACCTGAAGCCTAACATTTTGTGAATACAAATTAGGTCTGTTTTTGTAAAATGTAAATTAAGAACCTACATTTTTTATTTTAGAGGTATAGTTTGAAATTCTGAGAAATATGCTCATTTGCTTCTTTTTTTTTTTTTTTACCAGGAATTAGAAGAGAAAATTGAGATTACTCTCATGTGTAAGAGTGCTATCAACCTTTCCCCACCTCTTGGCAAGAAAAGGGAATAAATGTTTTTTTCCCAAAATGTCAAACTATTCCTTCAACGTCTCATTGATGCCATAAGAGACACTCATTTTCACACATCTCAATTTGGACCACACCACTTTCCCTTTCAGTATCAGACGAGTGAAGCATGGGGAGTGGAGAGGAAGCGGCCAGCTGAATAGCTGGATGCCAGCCTGTGTTGATAGATAAGAGCCTGTCCTTGTTACTATCCAGAGCTGGAGGCCGGAGAAAACAATCAGCGTCGGCCGTAATTAGGCCTCATGTCTCACAGAGGGACACAGCTGTTATCTGTCCTCTGCTGACGTGCACCATGCCTGAAGGGATTCTCTCAAGTTGTAAATAGAAATGAGCGAAGATGTGAAATATGCTCAACAGGGGAAGGTTGTGATGGACATTTTAATTGTATTCCTCATTCGAAGTAACAATAGCTCTCAGTTTGACGGTTTGATAAGAGGCTTTTACTTGTATAGAAAATGATCATCGTCACGTCAGTGCGAGTCATTTCACACACGCATGTGTATGCAAAAGGTTCAGTGGTCACAGTGATTTAGCATCCGAGAAGAGAGGGTGGGAGCCCGTATCTGCCCATCACAGCAGTGACAGTAAAGTACACCTGACTGATGACACTGGGAGCCAAATACGAAGTCTGAAAGCCGCGATAAAGACCAAACCAGTCACAGGGTCTCTGATGCGTTTCCCACCCAGGCTGCAGCTTCCTGGAAGACCTGTGCAAACGACTGCATAGCTCATGTCAGCTCTGGCAGCATGTCTGCGCTCACAACCATACTCATCACCACAGATAAACCCAATGACTGTCATGGTCATGCACGCCCACCACTAGGGCTGAGGTTCCTTTATTTTTAGAGAAAATGACCTGCTCTTCCAAAACCTGATGAGGTCGCACAAACCACTGCTGTGAGCTGGAAGTGTCAAAATACCTTGCAGGAATTTGTAAGTCATGGTTTTGACATCTGTGTTCTTTTAAAACCACATAACGGGTTCTCAAGTATTTCTCAACAGCTCATCACAGAAATGTCACGTCAGCTAAAAATAAGCAGAGCAAAGTTGGAGTTAAAAGGAAACTTTTGACAAAAATGGAAACTTTGTTTAATTTTCACTGTGCTGAGAGACGCACGCAACGCTCAAACATCCACAGATTACACATGAAACAAATGAAGTTACTGAACACATCCAGATGTAAATGCCTCAGTCAACATGTGGCAAAACAATGCAGAACGTCGATACACCTCACACAGTCAGCACAACACCAGGAGATGAGTAACAATGATAAACTGCACAGAGGAGAGGGACTTCCACTGAAACGCTGCGTTTAGACTGAGTTTACTCATTACAGCAACTGTCACTGTGGATTTTTCCATTGACGATAACCTAACTGTGAGCTGCCATTACAAAACATTTGCTCAACACTACCACTTTGTTTGCTAAATCTTAACTGGGACATCGCTTTGACTACAGCAAAAACAAAAAGGAACCTCAAAAGGAAAGTAATCTCAAGTTTGTGACATGAGAACTAGGTCAGAGTCAAAAGTGGTGCAGAGCAGAAAGCTGCACGATCTCTTACCTTCAGGCACGCTGCACTACCGGAGTGGTCAGCCCGAGGAAGTAGCAGATTTTATACACAGAGGAAACCAATCTAGAGCTCGCTTTCCTTCCTTTTTGAGTTCACTATACAGCTGCAATCTGGGGAGGGCCAACAGAGAACCTGCTGGTTGGTTATTTCTCACATTTTGTTGGATACTTTATGCAGAAAGCGTTTCTGTGCAGCCCTGATCTCTTTGTGTAATGGGTAAGGAATAAAGAATACAAGTCACGAGGTCAGTGGAGAAAAGTTTTTATATGAAATTGTGCATCTGACCGTATAGTTGCCATTTCTGAATACTGGAATACATGATTGAGGTGACAAAATCTGTTGAACTTTTCTTATTTTCCTCAAACTACCTGCCAACCTTAATTTCAAGACAGTCGCTGTTAAGCGCAAAGAAAAAAAGACTGAACAGAAATTGCGTTGATCCCAGAACACACACCCACACAAACACTCATGGCTGAATAATTGATTACTGATACTGGGCACAGACAGCTCTCCTCATCTCCAGCATCAACTAAATACTGAAGTTCAGCAGCGGTTGTTCAACCAACAGCTGCACCTGACAGTTCTGCAGCTTCACCTGCAGAATTTCATTAGAAGCAAAATGACCATGAAGAGATGCTAAATGACCAAAAAAAAGACATAAATGGCTACAATGAGACAAAAAAAAAGTAAAAAAAAGGCGTGAAAGAACTTTAAAGTGAAAACAAGCACAGAATTACACAACTCAACCTTAAAACGAACCACACTGTTTTGCAGTAATTTAGTCTCTTTCAGTCTGGGTGTATCGCTCCTATGTAGGAGAGGTGAGAGGCTTGTCATTTGTCAGCACCCAGGGGCAAATCTGTCTTATTATCCATCCACGCATACAGTCTACAGACACTCAAAACTGTATAATTATCTCCAAAATGGCATTAACCGAACCAAACATTCACAAAATACTAAAAACAACATTGGTGACGTATAAAGAAAATACAAAAATAACAACCATAAACATACAATGACATCTGGCAGGCTTCTTTTTGTATTGAAAAACCTATTTCTTAAATTCTCTGGTGCTTTTGAGGCTGCTGCTGGCAGCTGTCCAGATGTGTGCCAGCAGACACAACTGTTTCCAGATTGTCATGTGTTTCTTAATGTGCCCATGCCAATAAAAGCAATTGTCGTATAAATAGATGCGTCTTTCATCAATAATTATTTTCCCTTTTATTTTGTTCCCATCCGAGGAAATACTTTGGAGCCACTCAGCAGATGTGACGCCGTCTTTGGTTCAGTGCTGCAGAGCTCTAAAGCTACAAAATCATCCATAAAAAACAAATATACAGCTATCACACATTGACTAATTATACACTTTTGGGGGAATCGGACATATCACAAAAAACCCAGATGGAACTTAATGTTGTGCTCAATTTGGTTTGGACACAGGAAACAAGTGAGGCAACCGTTAACTGTGTCCATGTGGACTGAGGCCTGTGGTGCAGACCAATATGGCTTCCATTTGATAATGTCTGAGATTTCACGCAGTCTGCAGCAACGTCTTGAGCTGTAGCGTCTCTTCCACTGATAACCTGTCGTGGTAGAAGCTGAGTCCTGCCAGGAGCTCGATGTCTCGGACTCGTGCTGTGTGAAACTGCAGCCAATCTTCCACCCACGTCACGTCTGACCCGTTCTGAGGGGAAAAGTCGAAAAAAGGGAAAAATAAGAGAGAAAAGTGGAACAAAGAAAACGTATTAATTCGTTGTTGTTTTTTTCCACTGTAGGATCTATCAGCAGGTTTCTACAGAGGTAGGTGTGGAGAAATGCGTAGGAGAGGACTCAGTGGTGTAACTCACAGCACAGCTCTCAGTGTGGTCGGGTCTGTGGGGCAGGATGAAGGACTTGGCCTGCAGGGGACCCTCGCAGTCAACAGGGCCGAAGGTCGAGTTCCCACAGCTGGTCAGGATCACGAAGAAATGTGTCGGGATGGGAGCTTCATTCCTGGAGAAACAAGAGATCTCAGGTTTTTTTAAAAACTGCTGCCTCCTTTATAGAAAGCTCTCGTTTTAACTCACGATGTGAGCTTAATGTATATGACCTCATTTACGGACGACAGGGTCACAACTCCAGGTCTCAAACAAATTACCTGCCGGTTAAGTTAAACCCCTTCAAAAGCATTTTATTTATGACGGCAAACTGAATAAATGTGGGTTTTGGGCTGTTAGTCGGACAAAAAAAGTTATTTCAAAATTTCACTTTGGGCTCTGGGAAGATAAAATTGGGCGTCTTTTTCACTTTTTCTGACTTTTTTATAAAATAAAAGACACTGACAAAAAAGAATCAAGAAAATAGGCAGATTAATTGCAACTAATTGTTGGATTCAGCCCTAATCGATTGCCTGAAGTATATGCCGCTGACTTACCTTGAGATTGCTTTGAGCGCATCAACGTTTCCATCATAGTCTTCATCAAATATCGGCCCACTCATGACGTTAACTCCGTTCAGCTGTTGTGAATATTTTGGAAGAAGGACATCATGGACATGGATCCAAACAGCTGTGGTTAAGAAAAGTACACACAAGACCCTTTTAGTTCTTCAAAGTTACCAGACAACTGATGAACAAGATATAACTGTTAATCAGAACTCATCCATAGAGGTTCACACAGTGTGGGCACAGTGATGTGCCACCAGGGGGCAGCATCTGTTCGCCGATTCATATAGAGGCCTCAAACATACATGGACGGGGGTTTCCTTCCAAAAGGATCTCATACTAGTGAGAGAGAGTTTCCATTGATAGTGTGGGTGGTCCCAGTGGAAACCCAACCAGAGCTGTGTTGTCTGAAACACTCAACTTTTCAATACATTAATCACCCAACACAATCCTCAAGTTACCAAATAACATTGATCATTTCAACACAAAGAACGATTTCATGTGTACTCCCATCTACTGTTTGCACAATCTGGTGAGTCAGACCTTAAGAAGTGAATCTTATTGTGAAGAAAGCTTCAGTGCCTGGAGTCAGATGGCACGAGGATAAACTCTTGAAATGTTCCTCTAGCAAAACCTTTTGATTGTGCTTTAGATAAAGAGCTTGACTAAATTAAAGTACACTAGTCCCATATAATCACAGTGCTTAGATCTTTGGACTCCTGTTCTGTGTATTTAAGAACCAAAAGTATAGCATGTTTTTAAGAAAAAGTATAATATTGAGCAATAAAAATGGCTCACGAGAACGGACAAACTACAATACCTGCACTTGGAAAACAAGAGTACACAAAACAGAGCCTGACATGATGTCTGGTTGTGATCCAGAGTATTTCTTCACTTCACTAGTTAGTTTAATTGTTCAGCTCTCATTCAGCTCAAACGCTCCCATTCAGTTGGCAAATGAACCCTTCTGACGTCTCTCGAATTCAATATTTAACTCGTGCATCAGCATAATTCCCACCTACAGCTTTGGGTGCAGCTAGAAAACCAGGAGCAGATATTTGGAAGAGTGACTCACCTTTAAATGCAGGGAACATTGGGGCCATGTTGCTCGTGATTAGAGAGTCTGTCTCGGGTCCGTTGGCACTCAGATCTAAAGAGAGAAAATGAGAAGAGAAGTAAAATTGTATGTGTTTGCAATTTAGGTCTGGAATTAAAATGTTAACTGTATGTTGTAAAAGTCTGACATACACAGTGAAAAGAAGTAATAAAGAACTAACTGGCTGAGACAGATACTTCACATGTGGAGATAAATACAAAGAGGTAAAGTCATTTACAGCTTTTCATGATGCATTAATCTGCCTAATTTTGTTCAATCAATTTTTTTATTCCTTTTCTCTAAATATGTAAAACTTCACATCACAATAATTCCCGGCCAACCGACTTATCGATTAAGCAAGTCACAGCTCAAACTTCATTTAACTGCACAAATCAGAGCCATGAGGGAAATAAAATGTCTAATTTGGTAAGACCAACTTTCTCACAGCTGTTTCAGAGCTTTTACTTCTCTCTTTCAGTCAGTCACTTCCCTTTATGGAGCTACCTGACTATCTGAATTTCATTCAAAATACAGTGAATCTACAGTGTCGCAATAAGGGGGGGATGGGACACTCTTTACTGTAGCAGACAAAAAGCATGGGTGCATTTTTACATGAGAATGTGGCTCAGAAACACGTCAACTTGAATTCAACACACGACTGGGGATGGCGTTCTATGACCCCCTCCACTACTTACATACTCACACACACACACACACACACACACACACACACACTCACACACACACACACACACACACACACACACACACGCAAACACACACGCACACACACACACTCACTGGGGGGATGCAGCAGGCCGAAGGACAGAGTGGAGTTGTTTCTGTAGCGCAGACACAGCTGGCTGGTGGCCGGTGGGATGCGTACGTCAGCACGAACACACTCCTCCAATTCTGGGCTCAGGGGTCGGACTCTGGTCTGAGAGAGGGGTTCAGTCAGTGGTTGGCAGTTTGGAGCGGGACACTTGCATGTTACACAAGATCACTTGGCTTGGTTTTGCTTTGTCAGTGTCAGCGAGGACACTGCACTGTTTCTGTTTGCAGAGCTTTCTAAAGATAATCTCAGCTCACTGCCCTCTCCTGTCATAGAAGAAAATGTTGAATTTTCTTTATTTTAGGGCTCATCATTTCCAAGAGGTTTCCAGGTAAGGACGATACAACTTGCTGCTCATTATAGGTAAAGCAGTAAGACTGTTCACTTTGTAAACCGATAGTTAATTACCTCATATTTCAATTAACTGCTAAAGTAACGTAAAGAAACTCAGCAAATAGCAAGTCAGCTGTTCCATTTGCTAAATGCTAACATCAGCGTGCTAACAGCTTGCAATGAAAGTATATATTTACCATGTTCACCATCTTAATTTAGCATGTTAACACACTAACATTTACTAATTAGCAGGAAACACAAGGTAGCCTATAGCTGACACTGGTAGGAATGCCATTAGTTTTGCAGGTATTTGGTCATATACCAAAATACTGGACGGATTGAGAGTTTTGACCAATTGATAGTGCTAAATGAAAGGTCATATGTTCACCGAATGCATTAGGATTCATGCTCTGAGGATCAGGAATGGCCGTAAAAAAAATAATAATGGCAATCCATCCAATTGTTGTCACATTTCACTCTGGACCGAAGTGGTGGAGAAATATTAACATTCATACAGTCAAGCTGCTAGCATGGCTAAAAATGAAACATTTGTTTACAGGCGAGCATACAATTCAAAATCAATGTTGAATAAATCTATAACAGTATAACAGTTTATATAGCTCGTTATTGGAAACGTATGTGAAAATATAAGGAGAATCTGTGATCAGCATTGTGTCTGATTACAGGCAGAAATATAAAGCATAAAAAGCCGTGCATATATTACAACATCCTATATGTGCGGGAATAGAAATGTAGCATGGCCTCACGCTTTTCAATGATTAATTGATTTTCTAGTGGGTAAATTAGCTTGAAGCTAGCGTCATATGGAGTTGTTAACTTTGACAAACTGTGAAATTGAAGTTTTCCGTGGGTGTACAAGTGGGTTGAGCAAAATACAGATAAAAAAAACCCAATCCAAACCATGATTCTTTCAAGACAACATGAACACAGAGAATAAAGTACAACCATATTCAACTTGAACTATGTTTGGCTAAAGCCTGAATGAAAACAAATCCTCACTAGCTCCATCATTCAGACAGAATAGTACAACAGTGTAAACTCTCCCGGGAATGTATCACTCTGCCTGAAGTCATGATTTACACTAAACCTCAACCGCATAATGAGAAAGACAAGAAGTGTTTGAGACAACATGAGCGCAGAAGATGAGTAACAGCTGCTTAGAGAAGGGATTCAGAAACTCAAAAACAATCTCCTGCCATGCATCAACCACAGATGAAATACAGCCGGAACCACTCATCTGTACAGGATCCAAACAGGGGACTCACCAGAGGCTGGATGGTGTACGACACCCACAGGGGCATGAGGCGGTCTTTGCTGTATCCGCTGAGGTAGTTGGATTGGTGGAGGAGACAAAAGGTGGCGCCTGGTTGGACGACTCGAGGGGTACCAAAGGGTTGGTGGAGGCGACGTAAAGTGGCTTTGACACCTAAAAAGGGAAAATGGATAAACATCACACGAAGTTTTCTGACAAAAAATTAAAGGAAAAACAAAACAATACTCACTGGTATTAGTTGTCACGAGATCCCTGTTCATATTGGTCTCCTAAAAATAAATTATTGTCAGTATGCTTGTGGTAAATACATTAAAAACGACACTTTCACCATTCAGTGTATAAAGCCTGTGACGTTTTAAAATATCTATATATATTTGAACGGGCTCAAGCACACGGAGAGGGAAACATTAACTGCAACACCAAAAATGTTACGAAACGAGAGTCCACAGCCATGTTAGCGGACTCTGTGAGGCTATACATGGTGGATACACTGTGCTTTGAGCTACATGCTAACATAAATAAATAAAAGGCCACCTTTGCACAGCAATGCAAAACCTTTATCCCATCTTGAATAAAGATTGTGGTCATTCAAATGTTTAACATGTTCAACATCTTTGTTCAGCATGTTAGCGTGCTAACTTTTGCGAAGTAAAACACAACACAAAACCCAGCTGAGGCCGATGGCAATGCCATTAGCTTTGTAGGTATTTAGTATTAAAGATTTTGAACTGTTAAAGCACTTTACATTCATCCTGAGGGGATAATGAATGTGTGTATTTCTGTATCTCTACTGATAGAAGTTGAGACATTTACACCAGATAAGTGAAAACTAAGTGGCATTTATCCTCTGGGAACATCAATATCTTCATCACATTTCATGGTAATACATCCAATAGTTTTTGAGATAGTTCAGTCGGGATCAAAGTAGTGGACTAAGCTAACAGACAAGCACTGCCGTGACCTCAATAACTTGTTGGCACATACCGCTGCCTTGTTCTGGGATGTACAGGTGCAATTCAGATCGTTTGCAGGGACTGGGTCACTGGCCTCACAGGGGGTGTCATGGGAGAGCTGCGCTGGGTGGAATGGCAGGTGGACGGGATTCTTCAGAAGGTGGTTCAGACTGCCATGAGTGCCGTTGTTTGGAGCGGGACGAATACCGAGAAGATCTAGAAGAGAAAGAGAGGAAAAACTGTTAATTTTGATCACACACACGTAACACAGCATGTCAGCAATATTTTTGACATCCTTTTCAAAATTCGGCCAATTTAAAATAATATTTAATGATATAATCATACAGTAGAGATACACCAGTGACATGAGGGATCACACAGATTTCAAACTACTATATTTAAGCGAAACAAAGGAAGAAAGTGGCCTTCATAAAAGGTTTCTTCATATCATATAGAGTGCTACCAGACAGTAACAAATGTCCATTGAATGTATATATATCGGGCTTTTTGTCCCTTTTTGTAAGACATACATAATCATATTATCTGAACAAATTACTTGGAAGAGAAAATGTGTACAATGAACATCATCTGTCTGTTGCTAACATATTAACTACTAGATTTTGGAGAGCTTCTGTGCTTACTTTGACCTTAATACGTACCCTACTTAACTGTAGCTGTGAGCAAATATAGTTTGTCCATGTCGTACATGTTTTGTGTGTTACTGTTTGGTTTAAACACCTGGGTTAAACCCTGGATCTACATCTGATTGTGTCAGTTCCTCTTTTTTTTAAGAAATCTGGTTGATGTGGCCGCTCTTTATTTCCTGCTTCTCTCACGGAAAGTCGGTGGAGGGGAAGTGCACCTGTTTAATTTTCTGAACTGTGTTTGGAGATTTCTGCAAGAATTGCATTTTTCAGCAATTGGATGGCAAGCAATTCACTGCTCAGAAACACAATGTTTGTCAATATACCTAAAAAAAAGTCCCTTGGATTATCCTTGAGGTCACAACAGGTCATTTTAAACAGGTCAAGTTAAAACGTCAAGTTTTTTAAAAATGGTCTCACTATGTGAAATGGCTGCTATGGGGACTAGCTCATTCTACTCAGAAGAGTCTTAGTTATACCCAAGTTATGCAATTCCAAGACTGTTTAGGGAACCCAATATGCAGTAATATTAAAATACACAATTTTTAGAGTAGGCGGAAAAAAAATACACATTTAAACTGTTTGCAAAATGTGTGGGATTATCATAAAGTGGGCATGTCTGTAAAGGGGAAACTCGTTGGTAAATATAGAACCCATTTTCATTCACATCGTCAAAGTATTCCTTCAAATACTAAAATAAAAGACTAAAGAAGAAGCTACAGGAAATGAGGATAAAGTAGAGTTCCCTTACCACACACGAGGTTATATATTTCAATGTTTTCAAAAGGAGGCACAACAGTGTTTGCTTTCAATCCTGGACCGTAGCCGATGAAGATCGCCTGGAAAAAGTAGATACACGTTAACATATTGACATGTATGCATTTACTTGGAGACATTTGAAAATGGGAGAGTACAGTGAACTATCCAAACAAAACCGTTGGGACCGCAAAGGGAAGCTTAATTTAAACTCTTTCTGTAAATAACACTGTCAAACACATGTTAATATTTGACATGAACTAAAGCAGTAAAATGACCTTACACACAACCCTGAACAGTCTTCTAGGAAACATGTTGGCTGGGTGGGTTTGGGGATATTTGCAGGTGACTAAACTCTATTTTCAGCACACTTTTCTTTGCTGTGTGTAGATATTTTTTATAAACACACAGATCTGTTTCTCAGAGAAGTCAGCACCTTGTCAGCTAATTTAACCAGGTCAAAGTCCAGAGGAAATACGCGGACGGAAACATACACTCACGTCTTGTGATGACTAACATGAAGATGGGCAGACACAAACGCATTTCACAATTAAACCAACTGTATCCACAGCAGAGAATGTGAAGGTGGAGAGCAACTTCTCAAAACAACTGTAGTTACTGTACTTGAGTAGAGCTTTAGAGCTCCACAGTATTTTTGGGTTTGTCTTGCGTATTTATTTTGGTGTCATTCACAAAAATAAAACAGCAGATACAGAGATGTATCTTTTATTTAGACTCAACATTAACTCCTAAATCGTGTGACAACAGTGGACCAAATGTAACTGAAGCAGAAACACTTGTCTGTTTTCTGAAGGCCAGTTCAAGCTCTAAAACATTCTACATGTTAAAAAGTTCTGGAAGTTTGGGCCTTCCAGACTCCCTTATTTCTCAGGATACAGGATATCGTGATAAACATGTATCATGACGGATGCACACACAGTTCTGTCCTTCCTCTGACCTGCATGTTGGGGAAAAGGTTATCTGAGCCGTGGAATCCACCGGTGCAGTACTTGAGTTCCTGTCGATTACTGTCGGAATAGAATAGAAACATTTTATCTGAGGAGTTCAAATAAACACAAAGTCAGTGAGAAATGAAGGGTGGAAGCTACAAAAACACTGATGGTTCTTGGCATGTGTTTTCATCTCATATTCAATTTCAATTTCATGGTCAGACGAGTGTATATAAGCTAAAGAGCGAGCCATATCGCACTGAAACTGTATTAAAGTGGACCGAATTCTTCAGCTTGAAACAATTTTCCATGATTACATGGTTGCTCTCCATCAAACGAGTTGTACAACTCTTCTTCAACATACTGTCCCTCATTCATTATAAATGATGGCAAACACTAATTACTGTAAATGCTTCAACTTCTGTGTGGCCAAAGGAAACTCTTTCCCCCCCCCATCAGCAGACATTTACGTTCGTGAACATACTCTGGTAAATTCCACTGCATATAAACTAAAGCTGATCTTACTTTGTACTGTCCATTCCATGTTAACTCTGTGAGATGTGATGACAAGCACCACGGCTTTATATTTATATTATTTAAACTTTGTATTTTAGTCTTTTACCAAGCTAAAGGAATACAGTCGTAGGTCATTTGTTTTCTAGCTTTGTCTTTACATTTTAAGATTGACATTAAATTAAATGTACGGTAAAGGTAGTTTTGCATCCCTGCTGCACTTTAAATTCTCAAATGCTTTTTACGTCACAGAGTTTGGCAACCATAAAACAAAAGGGGCTAATTAAAATGTTCTCCCTGACTGTCAGTTAGAAAGCTTTCTTTTCTTGCAGGCCCTCCTTGCCCAAGGTAGTGACAGAGTCGTTGCATTTTCTGCTATGAAAATAATAAAAAAATCAGCTGGATCAGCCCTTTTGGCTATTTTTATGCTACAGATAGCAGTTTGGAGAATGTTTTTTATGTATTTTTGAAGGAACAGAGGAAAAGTAAATGTGTGTAAAATCATATAAGCTCAAAGGTCCACAGGCTTTTGAGTTTTCAACCACTTCTAATGTTCTTCTTCAGTGAATGGAGCTGACTCAAGGCTGGAAGTGCTTCTCCAGGCTGCATGTAGGTGAATATGCACAAGGGTTGTTTGGAGATGTTTGTGTGGCTTTTTCTTTTGTACTTGTACAACTGCATATTGCTTTTTTCATTTTTCAATAATGAGAGCATCAGCAGGCAGAATTTGGCAAGTACATTCTGTGGCGTCATTCATTCCAAGTCCTCAGCCATGTCGGGAAACCGGACATGGCCTGATTTCTTCCAGCATCCCGTGTTTGGGCCAAAGCTGAGTCGGGTCAAACAGAGACCTACCTCGGTCTGCATGGCACATTGTTGAGATTTTGGAGAAACTACAGTTACTCCCTTTTCCGTGTTGGTTTGAAGAGACATATAAGTGTGTTTTGGCAGAATCTTTATATCAGCTGGTGTCACTTAAGTGAGGGACTTTAAGTCACGTGATAAAATGCATTTGTATAAGGTCAAAAAGCTCAAACTAACAAACTTCAAAGGAGTTTGACTGATTCAATGTTTACTCCCCAACACCACATGCTTTTCAAAAGTTGTCCTCTTTTCAGCTTCTTTATTCCATTCTTGACAAAGTTTATTGACCTTACACAGTGAAATCTATGGACTGATTGGTGACTTACAGCGCACCCTGCCACCCATTCTTCATATAGAGGTGTCCTCTCTCTATGCGTTTGTTGTTAGCAAAGTGCATCCTTTTGGGGAGATTTTCTTTGAGGTACGGCCTCATTGGCTGGTCATCGGTCCTGCACTTCAGAATAGACACAGCAGAGGAGAATCAACACACAGCACAGGAAGAATGGGATTGTTTGACGAGAGGTCAAGCAAGCAGATCATTTTTCATTGTTCTTATCAACACAAAAGTCAAATTTGGAATACTTCGCATACCGACAGGTTCTTCATCAGACCCTCATAGTCAACTGAGGGGTAAAACACAGGGACAAGGTCAGCCACACTGGTTACAGACAAACTGACACTGAGCGATGCTGCAAAGCTGGGAAGAAGGGGAAGTTGGGTGCTATCAACAGGAACTCACAGGAAAAGAAATCCTCTGGGAGGCGACTTGGTCGGATGCGAGGAGCCGCGCCTTGGATGACAGCAAAGCCATCAGTTTTGTTCAAGTAGGTTGACACATATGCTGCCTTTTCACATGAAGCCTCCTCCATGCCTGTAAAAAATGAATAAATTTGTCCTCAGTTTTTTTATTCTTATATATGGTGAAGATTTGTGTTTTAATTTGTAAAGACTTGACAAATCTAGCTATGATTGCATGAAATATGTGAAGTTTGAGCACCAAAATCTATGACTCTACTGTATGTGTATGATTTCTTTTGTTTTTGCTGCTGTTGTTCAACTTGAATGTTCTTTCTCTGTCGGGACATAAAGGTTGATCGAGTAAGAAATGCAGTTACTTTGTCAGTTTCCCGGTTTAACAGCCTTTAAAATGTATTTTATTTGTGTGATATGTGAACACTGATGACTCCTTCTTGTTTCTTGTCCTTGATGGCTTGCTGCAAACTAATAACTAGGACATCACAACAAAATGCATATCTTCTCTTGGAAATTATGTCTTTGGTGAAGATAACTGGGCGTCGCCCCTAAACCACATTGATTCCTGCCCAGTAAACATATGGTCTCCAGATGTCCAGAGACACTTCTCGTCACACAATATCCTGCCAACATACCACTGAGAACAGTTTTCACCAGTTTACTCCCAGATAACACTCATTTTTCATCAGATTTCTCGCTAACATGGAACTGTAGTTTTCTCATGTACCAGGTGCAGTCACTCAACCAAGTCAAACATTTGAAGAAGACACTAAGTCTCTAAAGTCCGCCTCACTGGCACACAGGCTTTAAAACGATGCTACATCTTACTACTGTGTAACCACAGGTATTTAGGAGAGATGACCTGAGTTTGTGTGGAAGCAAATGCACAGCTTTAAATGAAACACAAGGGACGGGAAATACGACTTCCTCTGAATTGCTTGAGTTTGTAAAAAAAATTATCATTGTACATTTTAAAGAATTTATGGAATTTTACCTGAAAGACGGACTTCACTTCTGTATTAATGATTGTCTGGTCAACTTTTTGACCAAATTGTAATTAACCAATTGTAAAATTGCACTATAAACTGTATCACAGCTGTGTGGTTATCTCACCGTGGTCTGATATGATGATGATGTTGACACAGTGGTGCAGGTCTCTCTGTGTCAGGCCATCCATCAGCATGCCCACAATCTTGTCCACATTTTCCAAGGCCTGAAGGACCTGAAGGCACAAGAGCATTTAAAGCTTTCACAGATTTCACGCGTCACTCCGGCAGGTGAACAATATTCAGGGAAGTCCATCGTGAAAACATCTCAAGAACAACTTGATTCAGCAAATAAATAATTATCAGATTCAATGGACTAAAATGGCTTCGTCAGCATGGTTCACAACCTTGATTTTGTCCTGCTATTGTTTCCAAAGATAAAGAATGAACCTCATATATGTACTTGTTCCGTCTCGTCTGTTGTTCTTTAAGGTAATCAACAACCAGCTTATAGTTGCAGGTTTAATGTTTAGCGACAGACTAACCTGGCTGCTCGCTGGTCCATAACGATGTCCTGATGAGTCAGGTTCCTCCAGGTACAAAGTGTAGAAGTCAGGTCTAAAATTACGAAGGTAACAGTTAAGTGAGATGTTCAGTGGGTTTTGATGGCGACTCACAACATAATATGTTTTAATGATGATGGAGAACATTGTGATACCTTTCTCCCTGAGGTAAACTGAGCCATTCAAATAGCGTCGACACTCTCTGCTCAAAAGTAATGCTCCTGTTCACAAAAAAAACCACATTATCTATGAACACATTAAAACACCACTACGGTATGCCATTAATATTCTTGTCATGAATTTAGAATTGTCCGAAATTTTGAACAAAATGGCATCGCTCTTACCTGTCATACGACTTGTATAAGTCTGGGAAAGTGCCATTGATTCTTACATCTGAGCCAGGCCAGAAGAAGGTTCCTGCTTTTAGTTTCTGACGCATGGCAGTGATCCAGAGCTGAGAAGAGGGGAGGGGAGGAGAGGAGAGGAGGAGAGGAGAAGAGGAGAGGAAAGAGAGGAGAGGAGTTAAAAGAAGAGGAAAACAATAGAAAGGAGACGGAAGGGAAGAAAGGAAAAGGAAAGAAAAGGAGAAGAGATGAGTAGAAAGAAGAGGTTATGAAAGGAAAGGAGAGTAGATGAGGAGAGGAGATGAAAGCAGACGGAAAGGGGAAAAGGAAAGAGAAGAGATGAAAAAAAGGAGAGGAAAATAAGGGGAGATGAGTGTCATCTGGGTTCATGAATAATTCAGTGAGACTAAAACGTATACAGACTATTACCTCATTTGTTCATCTCAGTACATCTCATGTTTAGTCCATTAGGATAAAAGTGTAATCCCTCACAGCCCAACCAAGACTGATGAAAATCTAACTGCATATGTTGATGTTAAATCAATACCTATGAGACTGATCTGCAGGTAGAAGTGTTTTCTTTACGGAGCAGACTTGTAAACATGCTTTGGCAGATGCACTTAGTTGAATTGGTTCATTATGAATGAATTAATTCCAGGAGTCATCACTCATTTATTTCTCCTTCACTTTTGGAAAGTCATATGGCTGCTGCATGGAGTATTTTCTAGAGGAGCGGCCTGTCACACAGTTGAGGAATGAGATTTAACAGACCTCCCATTGAAACGGGAACCACACAGCGTCTAAACAAGCTGTCATTTTGCCCCAGCAGAATCCATAATTATATCAAGATACTCATTACTGCACCTGGGGGAGCGGAGTCTCAGCTATAAAGATCTGAGCACAGTGCTTCATATTTCTTACACAAGGTAAGTGCCTTCTCCTGATTCGTGTCAGGTTGACCACTAAATCAGGTCGTGTTAACTTCTATATGTTACAGAAAATACTGTCTGGCTCAGAATCACCATCAACTGCCCTGCTGTGGCCCTGATCAATGGAAACTTAATTCCCCTATGGGGGTGGATATTAAGTTAGTTTTGGGACCAATATTCACAGAACAGTGAATTTCCACCTTTGCACACAATATCAAGGTTGCACTTACTGGCTGTCCTTGGTACCATTTTGGGTTATTTTTCTCTTCAGATCTCAAGCTGAAGAAAGCGTTTTGGGTCACATCGTACATCTTGTTGTCCACAATCCCATGAGATTCAGGATAAAGACCCTGTAGAAAAAAAACAAGTCAAGGTAAGCAGTTTCTATTAGCGGCGGGAATTTCTTTTTATGTTTTAGATATCAAATGTATGAGATGCTAGTAAAACCACCAAAGAGACATTTCTCCTCTAAATTTCTCAGATGGTTTTGTTAAAATAACTGTTAGGATGTAAAACTCAAAAACAGAGATGATAGAATACAATGAATACAAATGTGTTTTTCATCGTTCCAGCCCAATCAATTATTTTACAACCCTTCAGACTCTTTGATGTGGGCCTGGCCCCATAGGTTGAGAACCACTACAATGATTTCCATTGTACAAAGTATTTAACATCTCCCACCAAAGAGACATTTTCTCTCTAAACTTCTTATTGTTTGTTGAAATAATTGACCAAGGGCAAAAGAGATGAAATTATCAAATATTTCACAAAACAATTCCTTGAAATGAATATAAATTTGTGTAGCAGAACTTTGTTTTTTCTTCTTTCGTTTCCTATTAATCATCTCACGACTCCCCAGATTTATCCTGTGACCCTGTGAAAATGAATGCAGACAGGGAAGGCACCTGCGGATGAAGCCACCCTTGAAACAGCTGGTGAGCATTTAGAAACAGTCAATACAATTCAGTAAATATTCATATATTTATGTTCATATAGTATATATAGGTGACAGGAGCCTGTAAAGTGAGTACTCTTTAACCCTTAACTGGAGGTGAATATTGCTGCATTCTTCTGTTTTGAAAGCAGGACTTTTATGAGTTTTTCCTCCACCGCTGACAAAACAAGTCAGACAAAACAACACGTCCAATAAATCAACCCCTGACCCAGTGACCTGAGCAGAAAAGACTCACAGTCACGATGCTGTAGTGGTTGGGAAAGGTCTTTGTGGGATAAACAGGCCTCATGTATGGCGTCGTTGTTCCGTCATTTCCTGCAACACAGTAAAGTTCAGTCACACCGGGATGCTTAGTAAACCACGAAGAGCTGTGGAGTCAACAATGTCGGTGACTTACGTAACTTGTTGATGACAGGAAGGTGGCTGCTGTGATCTTTCAGGTACTCCGCCCTGAAACCGTCCAAGGACACCAGGATGAGAGGAGGCCTGGAGAAACTGTGTGGGAAGACCGAGAGGAAGAAAGATGCTTTAAGTGGACACTGAGGTGCTTTTGTGAATGGGAAACGGAATAATTACTCAGCAGGAGACACGGATATCTTTGGCACCAGGAGTGTAGCAGTGGTGTTGTACAGTAGGTCTGTGTAGAGAGTACAAAGCAGGTCTTTGACTGGACAGGCAAGAGGAAAAAAAGTGACCTCACAGACCACACAAACACACAGAGGAGGAGAACAGGAAGAGAAATGTGACTAAGAGACGTTTGTTGTTCCCCAAAGCAAGGCATCGCCCTTATATTGGGAGCACTACAGTAACTTAATTATCTGCAGGAGTTACAGGTTAATGCTTTAAAACGTGTGATTATTATACAGATAACAAAATATTGCAGCTACATAGGGCTAGGAGGTATTAAATATCAACCAGAAGTATCAGATCGTGTCAAGTAATGCAGGATGTCGTTAAATGATGTGTCATGTGACACATGCTGTCACCAACATAAAAAAAACTGTAGGACAGCATGTGTCATGTAAATGATAATAAACCATTCCAATAATGTATATCTAATTGGACCATGAAATCAGGAATTAATTAAAGATTTTACAAATTAATTATTAATACTATAATATTACACAATAATTAAAAAAATTAACATGTTGAAACTGCTGATTGAACATTGAAAACATGTTCAATCAGCAGTTTTGAGAAGAGCTTCCTCTTTGCATGTTAAGTTTTCATAAAATAAAAGTGTGGTTTACCAACAGAAACAACATAGACAAACCCAAGACAATGAGTGCCTTTGAGATAAACATACAGACAACATTCATTTGTTTAAAGATACTTTCAAACCCAAAAATAGCTTTGATGGAGCCACAGGTTTTCTTTTCCATATACTGTAGTATAATGAGTCTGTCTGGGGTTACTCCCTTACCAAAGCAGAAACACACAAACATGTGACCACACACTCATACGCACGCACGCACATACACTCACTAACACATGCCTGATTACTCAGAGTCATTAGCCTGGTTTCCATAAAAAACTGTTACTTTCTTTTTTTTCCACCGTCATTAAAAAAAAGAATCATGTGTTTGGGTCACTGCTAAAAGACAGACAGTGACAGAAAAGCCTTTCTATTTTTCTCTGTGGTCACATTTTAATTTCCACTAAGAACTGCCTACTGGGAACAACGGGCTCAACTCAGGAAAACTGTGGGAGTTACAGATGAAAAGCTTCATTCTCAGCACCAAAACATGCTGGGAGATATTGCACAGAGGAGGAGAGAAGCTGCTGTAATCCAAACTAGGCCAGCTGAGATTTGAGGTGTTGTTTTCTATTAAAACCACGTCAGTTCTCACAGTAGACCAGCAGAACAAGAGTATTGTATTACCCAGGTGGACACTGTGGCTGTTGAATTCCCTCATCTGCTGCCTGCAGCCAGAGCTCACCTTCAGCTGGAAAAGAGGAGTGTTCAGTCAGTAAAAAGAGGCACATTATTATAGAGTAACACAATACTGAGAGACCAGACTTAAAAAAGACTAAAGAACCAGACTGTTGGAAGAAAAAGTGCGTTAGGACTGAGCCGAGAAATCTTATAACCCCCTAAAAACTATCTATCTTGAGGTTGTTTTGTTTTAACCTTTATTTTACCAGGACATTTTCCCATTGAGATTCAAAATGTCTTTTGCAAGGGAGTCATGGCCAAGACGGCAGCATAAAAGTTTCAAAAAACAGACTTAAAACAAAACAGCAAAAGAGTTAAGAAACTACATAAGAATAAGAGCGAAAACAAGTTTTTACATTAACAGCATATGCCAAGCTCTGCGAACCACATGCGTATGTTGCGTAAGATCATGAATGGATAACAACACAGACAGACTCCACGAACAAAGACTACACACTTGACCACAACATTATTGCATCAGATTTTGTGCTGGAGGGGATTGTAAAACAGCTTTTCTTAATAGAGGTGTGATCATTTAGCTAGTGACCACATCATATTTATATCAACTGAGGCCAAACATTCATGTGAAACAAGAGACCTCACTATCTTTGACTCATTTCATTTACATAATCTGAGAAAACTACAGCACCTACAACATGTACAGATTTTTTTAAACCTGCAAGCAGTCGCACAAATTTACACATCCAGCAGACACAACAACATTAGCATTCATCTGGAGTCATGTTTCTGACATTACAAATGTAAATCCAATATTTACTCTTCTTTTAGCTCTCCACCGAGAACACATCTGGCTCTCTAGCTGCCAAATACTCCACTCTGTTCACTAGCTAGGCGTTAACTGCGTCAGCCTGCAGAGTCGGGTGACATCTCTTCTCTCTTCCTGTAAAACCTGAATGATATAACGGTTACATAAATGTGATGATAAATGTGTGACTCGAGGTGATTAGCTGACCCAACCTATCGTATATAACACCTGATCATTAGCTGTGTGAGGAGCTTTCAGAGCAATATCGTGTGTTTGGATTTCACCAGACAACGCCTCTGATTACATTTCCAAAGAACGAGGTTTAAATTATACATTTAATCTCTCTCCTCCTCCTCGTGAGATAACAACGTGGGTGAAGAGTGAACAGCTTACACAGTCGACAGCTCGCTATATTAAAACGTATTCAGGAAAAACAAACACTAAATCTGGGATGTAAACAGAGGATGATGTCTCTGGTTCAAGAGTCACATAAATAAGACTCGTGTTTCTCATTTTGGTGTTAAAATAAAGTGTGATTTTAAAGTAAATCTTCAAGTATTTGTCAAGCACTTGTAACACAGGCATAATATACAAATGGAATGTATCCTGTATTATTTTCTCCGGAGCATTTGGAAACAAACTATGTCTTGCTCAAGGTCATTCCCACAGTAAGATTCCTGTTAGCAGGAAGCTTTGGACCACCTCTTTCACCTTTACAGCAACTGCCCTCCCAAAACAGTCTGTCAAGTCTGCTGCTAACTGGACAAATGACAGAGGGAGTCTTAGCGTGTCGGTGAGAAAGCCCCTCCTCGCTGCCTCTCGAGGCCAGCAGTGTGGTTTGGACCGAACACAGGGATGCTCCGTCTCAGGACACAAGTTGCTGTGGTCTGTAATCCACGGGAAAACCCACTCTCAGCATTTCATACTGTGAGCCTCTAGGAAGAAGTAGAGTCCTGGGTTATTTTCATTTCTTTTAATCTGCGTCCAAAGGCCTTACCAAGAAAGCAGCGTTACGAAAGATGTAGATGTTCCAACAAAGCTGCATATATGTGGAAAATGGCAAAATAAGAGTCTGGGTGAGGGCAGAGTCAAGATTTATTCTTCCCAAATGGCTTTCATGTCAGCTGGGTGGGAAATATAAGTTAAAGAGGACTGCCACAGCAGAGGGCACACCCCGCCCAGGGCTGGCGGCAGTTGCCCACAGTAACCACCGCTGCTCCCCAGAATGGAAGAGGCGTGTTTCGGCAAAGCGGTTTGCAACAGAGTATACTGCACCGCTGCCCACGTATAACCAGAGGGAATCTATAGCTGCAGAAGACATGCCAACGTCGGGTGAACATTCCTGTCTCGCTTAAATGTGTGTTTATGACGCGTTTTGCAACAGTGGCAAAACTTGGATTGCACCACCCTGATAGAAACACATCCTGTGAACAAATTATATGCAGTTTCAGTACATTCGCCTCTGTATCACCTCTGGCTCACAGTGACGGGACAAGCTACGCCTTGCATCTTCACCAGCCTTTACTGAATAAGTGCTCCACAATGTAACCTGAGTCACGTTATTCCTGTCTGCCTCTCTTGTTGCAGCCAAAGTATCTTCATCACTCTCTGTGTTGTAGAGTGAAGTCAGAAATTATTATATGGTATCAGTGGTATTTAAGTCAACGTTTTGAGATTTGGGTATGAAATCTTATCTGTAAGAACGGCAATATTTGAGAATGGGGGCTCAACAGTTTGTTCGCATTTCTTGGAGCAGCACTGCACAGATTTTACAAATTAAAGCCCATATTTGTATAAATTATTATCTTTTCAATAATTTTATTGGCAGTTTTTTTGTCTTGTAAAAAATAAGATATAAGCCTTATGGAAAGTGCTTTCTACTGTCCACTGATCAGATCAATTAGTTAGTTTAATTTATTTTTAATTCAACAGGAAGACATTTAACAGCAGAGTGCTCCACAACAACATCACCAACAATCAAGAATTAAATACAACGAAATGTGTGTGACACACATTCATAATAGGGTCACTGCTGTGTGTCAAACTGGCCTTAAAAACACCACAAGGGGGGGGGGCGCCGAACACAGAACTGTAAAACATCTTAATAACTACAACTCATATTGTGTATTCTTGAAGTTTAAAGAATGGGTTGATTGCATTCCTTAAGTTAGACTAACTAACATTTGCTAAACCATTCATTTTCAAAACGGAATCAAAAACATGCTCCAGCTGTGAAATGAAGACAGTGCTTACCTTTTCCATCACTGCTCTTTCTCCGTGACAGCACCACAGCCAGAATGACCACCAGTAAGCACAGCAGCAGAACCTTCAATCCAGAGAACAAATGTCAGGATGTTTGTTGAAGTTCTTAAAGTTCATAAATAACATGTAGCTGAAATATCAACAAACATAACCAAAGATGTTTCGATTTAATTCTTTGGATTTCAACATGATATTTTGCATGATACTGTACTGTGTTGGAAACGGTTTATTCTACTGGCACTCTAGACACACTCTAGTGTCAGCGACATGCCTTGTGACCATAATATAAACGTGCTGCAACCGACTTCTGGCTCCCTGACAGAAGCCATAAATCAGCACATTTTTGATAAACAACAACAGTAAGTGTGCTCCAACTGTTTTTTTTATATCCATCCTCGCATTGTTGTCTAGGGATGGACAATGCTTGTTGTTTGGTCCACCACTTTGGTCCAGACTGAAATCTCAACAGCTGTTGGATGATTTGCCATAAAATTCAGTGTGAAAATGCATGTTCCCCACAGGATGAATCCTACAAACTTTGGTGATCCTCTGACTTTTCCTCTAGCACCACGATGAGAATACAATCGTGTTTTGTAGTGAAATGTCTCAAGAACTATGTATGGACTGGCGAGAAATTGGATTCAGACATTCATGCTTCTGAGATCTACCGACTTGTCAAAATGTAGTCCAATATTTTGGTTTATGACGAAATACCTACAAACTAATGTAATTCCCATAATCCTCAGATGTACTTTACTGGGCTTTACTAATGCTAACATGCTAATCTGAGATGCTGACCATGGGAAGCATTACCCGCTAAACATCTGCATGTTAGCATTGTCATTGTGAGCATCTTAGCATGCTGATGTTAGCGTTTAGCTCAAAGCACTGTGGCTCACAGAGCTGCTAACAATACTTTTAGTATTATTAACTTTATTTGTCCAATATTTGATTCATTCATTTTTGTACTTGTTTTTTCGGTGAGAGTTCATCTTTATTCAAGATGGAATGAGGGTCTTGCAGCCCTGAGCGAGGGAGGGACTGTTGTTTATTTCTTTAACACTGCCCAGTGTAACCTAAGCATTCCCGGCTTCCCCCGTACACCATCTACAACGGTCCAAATGTAATCAGTAATTGAAAAGTGAAAGAAGGAAGTAAGTTTAGCTGCTTTCTATCAAATGCTCGACTCATATCGGCCGAGAGATGGCTGCTCACTGGGGGCGAAGGGTTTGTAATTTGAGACTTCTTTGCGTTTCAAAGAAGTCTGTTTATTTAGAGAAGTGGGTGTTCAGCGGCTGCTTACTTTGAAGCCCCCTGACACCTACACCAGGCCTGCAGCGGTTTACAGTACATGGTTGTTTAATTAGTGTGGAGTTTGTAAGCAGTATTTTCAAAAAGTGTTTAATCAATCTAACCATCTTGTGACCCCTCAGCTTTATCCTGGCACCACTTACTGGGGCCCGACCAGAAGCAGCTACTAAAAGTGGAACTGTAATTGCTTCCTCATCACAGGACATCCTCCTCCCCTCTCTCTCTACACAACAATATTGCATTATGTCTATTCTTTGTATAAATAAATAAATGTTTCCATGATACACTACCTATGTTTGCATGCACACAAATACTGACTTTCATCTGATTTTCCAAGAAATTTTGAGTTAGTATGTATACTTGTTATTATCAATCAGACAACGCAATTGTGCATCACAATATCTCGATACATGATTTCATCATGATAAAATACCACTGAAAGATGCTAAATTATCATTCTGAATTTATTGCCCAGCCCAAATTAAAGTTTATGTATTGTAAAGCTTATTTACCTTTTCTGTCCTTATCTTTTCACCAGTGTTGAAATATATGTTTTCACTTAAAATGTAGAGTATAAATCCTTTTTATCCAATGCCGACAACTTTATCTTTGTTCCGTTTCCAAAACTAAGACTTAAAATAAAGCTAAATAAGACGCATAAATCCAACAGACACTCACTTGTAGGAGGATGTTAAACCAGCGTTGATATACACAGGGAACAAGTTATGTTGTGGCTTATTTTTCCTTGTTTTAAGACAAATACAACCCTCTGATTGAACAATAGATTATACATGCTGTACTCATTCATGCCCTTTAATTTAATCATTCTCAGATCTGTAGCAGTCAGTCTTAAAAGCAGGATTGTGGGAACCATCACTCATGAGTAATCCATTTAGTATAATTCACATACACAAGAATTCCTAGATGGGTATGAAAATATGCGGCTATGTGTGCGTGCAGTCTGGGTTTGTGCACTTACTTTCTCCACCTAAAGATGTAGAGGGAGAGCTAGAAAGAGAGAGGCCTGGATTGGACAAGACTCTTGGGAAAGACGTGGTTTCCGTGGGTTGTGAAAGTAAACAGTCTGTCTGGTAGAAACCTACTTGTCTGATACCTTGAGTTTTGTCTATACAGTAAAGACATGATTAGACTGTTGGGAGTCCACATGAAACTGCGACAGCACAACAAAGTCCACAAGACGGAAAAAAGCATAAAAACTGTCTCCGACGAGTCTGAAAAACGAATGAGTAGTCCTAATGTTTGAGTAAAAATAGCCGTGCTTTCTATCCTTAGTGCCAAGATCTTAAACAACACTGCATTACATCAAGAACCAGTATCACAATTACAAACAGCTGTACAGGGGCTGATGTATGACAGGAAAGAGTATATTATCGTCTAGACTTTGCCACATGTGTATTTCATCAGTACCAAGCAGCTGGAAATACTAGTGCCTGTGGTTTTAGGTAGAGTTTACTAGTAAATAGTTTAAAAAGGTGTGTTAACTATCAGCTGATCAATCCTTTTTTATCATTCTTTTACTGTAAAATAACATGTTTTTTCTGATATAGCCCTGACCACAGCCAAATAAAGGCAGCGTCTGGTACATATAATAACATTTTTATTATGGTTTTAGTCTCCATGTAAAGCCTCAAATGTATCCCAGATTTAGTTTCTCTGTAGAGTATTTGTGCTTTGTCTCAATGTGTCAAGGAGCTGTGGACAATGAAGGCTGCTATTGTCTCGGAGTCTTTTCCTCTGTAATAAGAATAACATCCAGGGGAATACAAACAAAATAAGTCATTCTACTTTCCAAGCAGATTCTCCTCCATAAGCTAGATAGAGACAGCGAGTGAGAATACTGACTTTCAGAAGCAGTATTTGCAGATTTGAGCAGATTAGTTGGTAATGTAAATAACCTCTAGTTGCAGCTCTAAAACTTCTTCAATTAAAAAACAACACCTCTCCATTCACTGTTCCCTCCCCTGACACCCCTCTAAATCCCTAAAATAGTGAACTATTGCATTGCTCTCAAACTGTCAGCTTAAACTTTAGTCTTTTGGATCACGATCAGTACTGTAAAGGTCCTTTCCTGTTGAATAATAATACATGTGGATCTTCTCCACCTGTCGAGACACTTCTGACCTCTGTCTCTTTGCACTGGAGTGAAAACATTTGGTTTGCACATTCACACTGGCAGCAAATGTAGACCTGAGACTGTGTGTTTTTGATTCCTGGTGATCAATGATTAATTTTGTCTATAAAATGTAAAAAAAGAAAATGTGTAAAAGCTTCCCATCCAAACCACATCAACATCTTCAAATATCTCGTTTATAACCAAGTCCAAAACACAAAGATTTGAAGTTTACAATCATATTTGACTAAGAAAAGCATCACATTCTCTACTTAAAGAAACTGGTTAATATTAAATGTTTTGCACTTTTTCAATATTTTTGATGGAAAAATGACTGAAACAATTAATCAACTATCAAAATAGTTGCTGACGTTATTTTTAGTTGTTGATCGGCTAATCGTTCCAGCTCTAACAACCACTGTGAACTCAGAATCTACTTGAGTTTATGGACACATTTCTAGTTTATAGACACATTTTATGGTCCTACAGTAACACTATAACGCCTTTTAAAGATACAAATATCACTTAGATGACTAGATAAAGCGTATTGAGCACAACACAGACGCACTTTATTGAAGTTGTTTTTGATAATAAAGTAAAAAGGTGCAGCAAGACACAATTTGTGACATAAAAGCTCTTTTTAAAAAAAAAATCAAATAAGCTGTGATATTTTACTGTAAGAGTGTGAAAGTGACAACATGTGGCTTTCAATTATTGTTTGTAGTGTAGAGTTAGAGAAGAGTTAGGTGGTCAGACATGGAGGTTGTAGCTTCATTGAACGTACCCCAGTGATGATTTTACAGTGGTTATTCCTCTTCTTTCCCCGTTCAGCGTTAGTCCTTTGACTCTCCAGCTCTGGTGGCCCAAACAAAGACGCAGCCTGTTCAGCCGAGGGGTCCTCTCCTTTGGTTACTTCCATGCTGCTGAGCGCTGCAAACTCCTGCCAGTGTGTTGAAGGAGGGACTGTGGTGCAGGCAGAGCTTCACCCCTGGTTGAGGAGTGTATATATGTGCTGCCGTGTGGGATATGAACCCTCTCTGCTCAAGTGTAGCACCGCCTTGCTTCTTGACGTCTCCTGAGTTTACAAAGCAGCAGCATGCCATTGATCTGAGAGAGAGAGAGAGAGAGAGAGAGAGAGAGAGAGAGAGAGAGAGAGTCAGTGGCTGCGGAGCCGACCTCAACGGTCTGCTATTTTGGCTCAAGTGTCATTTTTTCCAGTGATTTCTGTTCTCCAGTAACTTTAATCAGATGCTCGGACACTTTAGAAGGGAGTTGGAGCTACAATAGAGAAAGAAAATAAATATAGACCAACTCATTACGGATATTTGTGCCTCAAAAGTGTTAATCACATTTGATTTCTGAGCTGCAAGATGATATCAACGTCAGTTAAAATCAATCAAACCGCTGTTGAGGAACTTCCACATAAACGCACTGTGGAGGGACTGAATGCTAGCGCCATCTTGTGGTCAGACTGGAGTGGTGCGCTCTATGTCCTAATCATTTTCATAGATCAAGAAGTCTTGGACAGTTGAGTTGCATTAAAAAACGAATAAAGCACAATCTGAACTGCATAACTCTTCAGCAGGGAAGGTTCACAGTATTAACCGTGATTTGTTTAACATCGACAGCTAACGTTACAAATTAACAGACGTCAGCCTGTTAGCTTAGTTTAGCAATCTGCAACAGCAAGAACCCTCCTGGACACACTGTAATGAACCGTATATAGTCAAACATGTACTTATGTTTGATTTAAGATTACAATAAGTATGATGATGAAAGAACAAAACTAGGACTAATTGATTGAAACACAAAATTACATTCATGAATCTAGTCCTAATGTAAAGTACGCAATCTTGTAATTAACAACTTGAGAGTAGCAGGAATAAAGAAAATTTAACTTTTTTTGGCCAATTTACTGCTCCACACTCTGTAGGTCGTGGCCATGCTTGTGGTTAAACAAATAGTTTGATCAGGAAAATACCAGAATGATATCTCTACAATGCTCCGAAACTATGTTAACCAAATATGACAGTTTCCTTTTAACACACCCAGTTTGAGCTTTATGTCATATTTCCAGCAGGTTTTCTGTAAATGTCAAGTTTTCATCATAAACATCCAGCACAGAGCGCTGACAGCGACATTACTCACTGATTGACACTAAACAACAATCATGAATATGTATGAAGTTTGGAACTTTGCTGTCAGTTATTATGAAAGTGATATGCCATTTTAATGCATAGGCCTACTCAGTTCTGCACAAAGCTTTGCTGTTGAGCTTCATGTAAAAGCTATAGTCTGTTGAACCTTCAGCTAGAAAAAACGCTTTTCATGCTACACACACTCAACCAGTTACAATGTATATTATATCTGCTTCCTGACCAGTTCTGCCAATTTATTTTAAACTGAGTTCTAGCTCTCTGGAGCCTCTCAAGCTGCCTTGTTCCTGGATGCTTCTATAAGAAGCACCAGCTGTGTAGCATTTGACTTCTGTGCTGCTTTTTGTTACTATTATTAATGTAATCCTACTGGAATTTCCATGAATTACTTGTTCTGCTAACTGTTGGCCTAGAGTGAGTACAAATTTCAGTGCAAACCCTTTCTGGGAGTCACTCAACAACTGAGTTTATATCTTATTCGGCAGGCTGTTGTTTTTTGTATACATGATCCATAAATCAGGAAACATCCGTCATGTAGGAGGAACTCTTATATATTTTATATGTCATTAAAAATCTTTGCATTCTGTAGTAACCCAGTTAGCTACAGTATAAAACCATCCAGAAGATGGTAATGTTGTCATACCATTAAAGTAACACTAAATGTCCTTCCCTGTAGAGATATTTTCCTGAAGCTTGAAGTGCTATTAATATAACATAATATTCCTGATCCATGACAGCTTTAACACAGGCATATTTCAGCTCTGTGCGGTCCAGGTTCCCTTCAGATCCAGTCGTGTCATGTGGTGTGATAATGGAGATCACATGTGGCTGGAACTCCTGACCTCTGACCTCTGCTCTGTCCTCAACTCATAAACAGCCCAGGGTTAACTTGTCTTTTTCTCCCTGTGAATGTGTGGGTCTGCATATCCGTCTGTATTATATATTTGTGTGTGTGTGTGGGCCTGAATATGAAAATAAACCTGTTTTTGTGTTGTTATTTTAAGCTACAAGGGTGTCCGTGCATGTCTGTGTGTGTGTTTTTGTGTCTGGTTGTGGTTATAGTGACTGTGGGACACTGTGTGTGTGTGTGTGTGTGTGCGTGCGTGTGTGTGTTTGTGTTTGTGTGTGAGAGTGTGTGTGTGTGTGTGTGCGTGATGCTCAGTGACCTGCATGTATCTCAGCAGAGTGTCTCCCTGCAGCTGTCCCCAACACAGGACTTCACAACGTGACCTTTAATGTTGACCTACACATGTAGCACTTACTGTCCTCATCAAATGCTCCTCCCAACTTCCTCAAAAGACACTTTTCATAAGAGTGTCATGAAAAGTGACAAAGATCGGCAGAACGAGTATAAAAAAAGATATACTATATATGAGGGGGAAAAAAACCTCACAATGCCCCTACTACACAGTTTCCCCCAAGGAGCTTCAACAACAACGCAGTTTTCTCCCCACAGTGTATTATTACGTATATACTGTTTCATCTATGTTGCATATTCTGCATCTGCTTGTTTCAGCGCTGCTTGTTCCAGTTTATTTACTGTATAGTCCAGATTAAGTCAATTATTAACGAAAGGACTCAAAACAAACACATAATGTTGAACCTTTCTTTTATTGGCAACAAGTGACAGCAACAATTGATGCAGTATTTAGCAGTTTTACAGCCTTCTGTGTGAGTCTGGAGCTCTGAAATCTATTTGACATCACAATTCAAAGCCCTCAAAGCAACATTTGAAGTAAAGTATAGTGGCTTGAACCCGGACGGAGCCACCACTTATGAATAATAGAATTCATCAGCTGACAGTCTAACCCATGAGATTTACTGTAGGTGCTATTCAATCTCCCATGAATTATTCATTCAACATGACTCAATCCTCGGCACATTATATGGGGGTCGCTGTGGCTAAGTGGATAGCAGGGCCGTCCTTCAATCAGAGGGTTCGATCCCCGGCTCCGGCTCTGCTAGTCGCATGTTGATGTGTCCTTGAGCAAGACACTTAACCCCATAATTGCTGCTGTTGCTTACGGTGTAGAAATAATATAGAATCTGAATTGTAAGTTGCTTTTGATAAAAGCGTCTGCTGTATGACTGTAATCTTATATTGAATCCATCTGTTGTTTCAGACATTTCTGTCGTTGACTGTCTGTCTGCCAGGATTTACAGTAAAGCTGAATGTCTTTGCTCCGCTTGCTTTTGTTTTTGTTGTGAAATAATGAGCATCTTTCAAAGTTAGATATACACTCACCCACGACAGGAAGAAACAATAGTGCTGTGTATGCGCTGATGTTTTTCACTGTTTTTGACAATCATTGAGAGATTGATTTAAGGATCTGCGTGACAGTGAAACATACATGTTTTTTGACAAATGCAAAGGTTTGTTTTAGATTTGTTATATTTGTTAAGAACAGCACAAATCTGACCTGCGTGTTCAATAAATATATTTTATACAGTTTCTCTTCTGCATGATGGAAAAAGAAGTCCCAAAAAAGCTCATTCACGCCTACATCAGTCTGTTCAAGAACATAATGGGGGAGTGAATTCTGGTACCTTTTCCTGCTAATGATAGTGTGAATATGCCGAGGTGGCGTTTGACAGTTAAAAAAAGAAAAAAATGTCAAAGTTACTCTTTTATAACTGAAAATGTACGTAAAGTTTGCCTCCTTGTTTCTCTGTTTAATTGGAATGTAAATAGTTTGGTGCCAAAATGAGATCTCGTTTTTGTGTTTGTATCCTTTGTCATGTATCAGTTTTTTGCATATCTGTCTTGTTTCCATTTTATGTTATTTAGAGTTTACATACATATTATAACAATAGATTGTCTATCTATCTATCTACCTATCTGTTGGGAAAAATCGAATGACTAAGGAATGTTTGGTTGGCACAGGCCTGTGTTCTCATACTGAGTGAACTTTCTCTGACACGAAGCATCGCAGCTGTTTTGGCTATTAGGTATCAGTTGTCTGCTAGAAGAGCACTTCAGCTGTTTGTCCTAAATAAGAGATAATAAACCTGTAGAAAACGTCAATACTCACACAGAGCTGATTTGCAACCATGACTTCCTGATTACGATAAAGCGACCTTTGTACTAGAACGAATTGTTTACAAGTGATGTTCCAGATACTCTACGCAGACTACGCTGTGTGAAACGCAATTCGTGTGTTATCGTTAGTGACAATAACTTATAGTAAATTACCCTGTGCCACCACACTGCCTGTTGTTATTCAAGTATATACAGTATAGCAGAGACTCAGAGACAGACCTCTGAGCAGCCTTGATGCATATTCTGTATGTGAATCAACTCTGTCTCCTTCTTGCAAGAATACATGTCCTGTTGTGAATTTTTCTAACACTATCTATCTATCTTTCTGACAGAGTCTAGAGTATCTGTGAGACTGTCATTGTGCACAAATGCTAAAGTCAGCATGCTAACATGCACACAATTACAATGCAAACTGATGTCTAGCAGATATGTTTACTATGTTCAAAATCGTAGTTCAGTGTGTTGGCAGCAAACACAAAGTATAACTGAGATTGAACATCATCAGCTTTGAGCCAAACTGTGAGGATGGCTGAAAAACGTGGAGGGAGAGCAAGCTACCTTTAAATCTGACAGTGATGAAACACAAAGTTGGTTGTCCTGAAACACATGTCGACAAGAGAGGGAATAGATTCCCTTCAAACAATCAGGACGCACTGCTTTGTTAAAGTATGAAAAGGTAAAAAGCATAAAGCGCACACTATTATAGCACTTGTCTTGCACATTGCGTTTTTTGATCCGGTTATTATTTGAATTGCATATTGCCTAGTGTGTAGTATGTTACATATATACTGTTTTATGACAGAATAAAAATAATCCCGCCTCTATTGAATTATTATTTTCTTTATCGATCTATTTTGGGAAATTTACCC